TGTTTTATTTTGTCGTACAGCATTGCATGTGTTGGTATCTTGTTGTTTCTTGATTTCTTACGAGTTTTATCTCGGCTGAAAATGCAAGTCAGCCTCAAAGCATTTTTTCTTCTACCTGAACGGAATGTTCTGTAGGTAAAGATTACTAAAAAAATGATCAGCCTGCAGGGCAATAATTGTCGGTTTTGCAGTCTAGGCCAGTCTACAAGTAGTCCCTGAATTATTATCTTTCATTTAGCAACCGTTCAGATTTACAGGGTGCTAGAAAGTGACTTATGACTGGTCCTCACACTTAACCACTGTTGCAGCCTCCTCACCGTCCTACGATCAAAATCTGGGTGTATTGACGATGGATCTAGCATCCTGGCCAAGCAATCGTCCCCGGTGATTTTGCTTCGGACATGCAAACCCAATGGGGGAAGCCAAATGTAGTAGGAAGGACATGACAGCGTCAATGAGGGCAGTGACTCCCATAAGGCCATCAAATGGGGGCAAAACTCACGTAACAAATGTCAACAGGAATTTTGAGCTCAGTTGCAGTTGTAAGTTAAGGACGACCTATATTAGCTTCCGAACGTGAGTATCCTTGTGGGAAAGGGTGACGTACTGATAGGTCTGCTCATCCTTCTACAGGCTGGCTTGGGGTATCCTGGGTTGTCTATGGAGATTATTCTCAGTCATCCAGTTGTCCCAAAGATGCTTTTCCACGAGGCAACTGGACTTTCTTGTTTTTCCTTCGGTTTAGGACCTCTGCAGGTCCTAAAGCTCCGGGTGGCCTCAAGGACTCTCTAAAAGGATGCAAATGACCAGCTGTCTGCAAGGAGTATAAATCCTTCCATCCCCTGCCCTCCAGTCAGAACATGAAGAAGCTTCTGGGATGAGGGGCGAAATGTCTTCAAAGAATAATAAGAAAGTCCCATGAGGACACAGATAAACCTCCAAGTGGCCTCAAGGACTCTCTAAAAAGACGTAAACGACCAGCTGTCTGCAAGGAGTATAAATCCTTCCATCCCCTGCCCTCCAGTCAGAACCTGAAGAAGCTTCTGGGATGAGGAGCGAAATGTCTTCAAAGGAAAAACAAGACAGTCCAGTTGCCTCCTGGAAAAGCATCTTTAGGGTATCCTGAGTTGTGGCACGTCCCGCAGGCTCCGAGCTCCGAGCAAAGGGACGGGACTTTCCAAGACGGATATTTAGTTTCACTGGTGCCCATTACAAAATAGGCATGACAACGCAACTTCTTTCGTAGGCAACCCTCTTCCAAAACAGCACCTGAGGTGATCTATTCTCTCCCAATATCTCAAAACGAGAATAAGGGGTCCAATTCAGCTAGGATCTTCCTTTGAGTCTTGGCAGGACACCCTCATGATTAACCCTAGCTTTATTCAGGATACCACTCTACAAGGCCTTGGTAAGGCCATACTTGGAATACGGCATCCAGTTTTGGTCACCACAATGTAAAAAAGAGGTTGAGACTCTAGAAAGAGTACAGAGAAGAGCAACAAAGATGATTAGGGGACTGGAGGTTAAAACATATAAGGAACAGTTGCTAGAATTGGGTATGTCTAGTTTACCGAAGAGAAGGACAAGGGGGGACATGATAGCAGTATTCCAATATCTCAGGGGTTGCCCCAAAGAAGAGGGAGTCAAGCTATTTTCCAAAGCCCCTGAAGGCAGGACAAGAAGCAATGGGTGGAAACTCATCAAGGAGAGAAGCAACCTGGAACTAAGGAGAAACTTCCTGACAGTCAGAACAATTAACCAGTGGAACAACCTGCCTCCAGAAGTGGTGAATGCTCCAACACTGGAAGTTTTTAAGAAGACACTGGACAGCCATTTGTCCGAAATGGTGTAGGGTTTCCTGCCCGAGCAGGGGGTTGGATTAGATGACCTCCAAGGTCCCTTCCAACTTTACTACTATTACTATTACCCACCCATCCTATCAACCTGTTGGCCAAAGGTAGGCTTTGTGCAGGAAAGGTTAAATCATGGTTTTTGGCATGGGTTATCAAGAACCAGATGGAGGGGAATGGGCACATACGCGTCCCTTCCGGGAGAACAGAGTTGGGATGCTCCATAAAGCAGCTTTGTGGTCTGTTCAAGCATTCGCCGGCATCCATCCGTCCAGGCTGGGGTTCAAATCCAGGTCAAGCAAAGCCAATGGAGGATTTACTTAACAACCGTATGAATCACTTTACCGCGATTTGCTGTGGCAAAAAAAAAAAAAAAAGATTGCAAAATTGTAAAATCCGTTGTGACTCATTTAATGACTGTCTCGTTTATAGGGGTAGAAATTCCAGTCTCAGTTGCCGGGTTCTCAGTTGCTGTTTCCAGGATGGGACTGAGCGAGGCGTGTCCGTCATCCGACAGTGTCTTCCCAAAGGGTAAAAAGTTGTGGTTAGTGTGGCATTTGTGTGTCACGGAAGCACTGTTTCAAGCAGCCAACAAAAAATTAACAGCTCAAATCCAGGCAAAAAATGTTTAAAAAACCCAACAATGTGGTGTTGGGGAAATGGTGGGAAACATCTCTGCCCCCCCACATCCATTCAGGTCAGATAAAAAGACTTGAGTGGGGAAATGGGAGGACTCAGTGCTGGAGGTGGAACATGGAGCATGGTCATGTTTTATGGACGGTCCCAATTGGGATGTATGTATCTTACAAAAATGTGGGGATTGTTCACAAGAACATCCTGGAACACGATAACAAATAATGAGAATGCAATGTATGTATTTTTTTCCCTATTTATTTATTTATTTGAACTTCTTACATATTGAAGATGTATTTATGACTATTTATGATGTCTATTAGTCTGCCCCCCCTCCCAATGCTGTCTCTCGGTGAAGACAAAATAAATGTTTCATCTTTTTCAAGAAGGAAAATTGTCTCTTTATTCAACGTTCCCGGTTTAATTCGGTACAGTGATTCCCGAGTTCCAAGCAGGTACATCCTCGTGTCCTGGGAAATGAATCACAAATTCCCAAATCCAGCCAAAATCTTTTATTGCGCCCTGGTAAAGAGGCAGTTGGACCCTAAGAAAGGCTGAGCGCCAAAGAATGGAGGCCTTTGAACTCTGGTGCTGGAGAAGACTCCTGCGAGTCCCCTGGACTGCAAGGCGATCCAACCAGTCAGTCCTGGAGGAGATCAACCCCGACTGCTCTTTAGAAGGCCAGATCCTGAGGTTGAAACTCAAGGACTTTGGCCACCTAATGAGAAGGAAGGACTCACTGGAGAAGAGCCTGATGCTGGGAAAGATGGAGGGCAAGAGAAGAAGGGGACGACAGAGAATGAGGTGGCTGGATGGAGTCCCTGAAGCAGGAGGCGTGAGCTTAAATAGACTCCAGAAGATGGTAGAGGACAGGAAGGCCTGGAGGAATGTTGTCCATGGGGTCGTGATGGGTCAGACACAACTTTGCAATGAACAACAACAACAAAGGGGCAGTGCTGTGCACCCCCAAATTCAGCACAAAGGGGACTTTTTCGGTTTGGTTAGCTACACATCCAGCCCATGAACCAGAAATTCCCTCCAGTCCTCAGAGAGAGAGGACTTTTTCTTAACTGGGAACAGGGAAGGTCCACCTACCCTGAACATGAATCCCAGCACACAATGATTTTGGGAGCCTTTCTCTTCTTCTAAGTAAGAAAGGTCTGTTTGGTGTCCCAGTGGGATGACTGCAGGTTGCTTGTTGTATCATAAAGCACTGTGTTAATAGAAGTAAGGAGGAAGATAGAGGTTATTCCAGTATTTGAGAGGCTGCCACAAAGAAGAGGGGGTCAATTTATTCCCCAAAGCACCAGAAGGCAAGATGAGAAACAATGGATGGAAACCCAATCAAGGAGAGAGGCAACCTGGAATTAAGGAGAAACTTACTAACAGTGAGGACAATTAACCAGTGGAACCACTTGCCACCAGAAGTTGTGAATGTTCCATCACTGGAGGCCACATGTCTGAAACAGTATAAGTCTCCTGCTTGAGCAGGAGGCTGGACTAGATGACCTACAATGTCCCTTCCAGCTGTAGTCTAACTGAGAATAGAATAGAATAGAATAAATAGAACAGAACAGAACAGAACAGAACAGAATAGAATAGAATAGAATAGAATAGAATAGAATAGAATAGAATAGAATAGAATAGAATATAGGAGTAGAGTAGAGTGGAAATAAAGAATAGAATATAGAAATAAAGAATAGAGTAGAGTAGAGTAGAGTAGAGTAGAGTAGATTAGAGAATAGAATAGAATAGAATAGAATAGAATAGAATAGAATAGAATAGAATAGAATAGAATAGAATAGAATAGAATAGTGGAGTAGAGTAGAGTAGAAATAAAGAATAGAATAGAGTATAGAAATAAAGAATAGAGTAGAGTAGAGTAGAGTAGAGTAGAGTAGAGTAGAATAGAATAGAATAGAATAGAATAGAATAGAATAGAATATAGGAGTAGAGTAGATTAGAGTAGAAATAAAGAATAGAATAGAGTATAGAAATAAAGAATAGAGTAGAGTAGAGTAGAGTAGAATAGAATAGAATAGAATAGAATAGAATAGGAGCTGGAAGGGACCTTGGAGGTCTTCTAGTCCAGCCCCCTGCTCAAGCAGGAGAACCTATCCCATCTCAGAAAAGTGACTGTCTGGTCTCTTCTTAAAAACCTCCAGTGATGAAGCGCCCACGCTTTCTGGTGGCAAGCTGTTCCACTGGTTAATTGTTCTCACTATTAGGAAGTTTCTCCTTAATTCCAGGTTGCTTCTCTCTCGGGTCAGTTTCCAACCATTTTAATGGCCAACACCAGGTGACCAAAAAGTCCACGATCCTTTGAATGCCCCCCAATGGTCTGATTGTTTTGGAAGTACGTGTCTTTTCCTTTCTCCCGGCCCCCTTCCCGCCTCCACCCCCCACACCCTGCATAAAGCCGCGGCCGGAGGGCCCGGGAGCCCAGCAAGCGGTCAGCCCAGGAGAGGACCCGGACCGGCCCCTGCGCTCCTGCCGCCTCCCAGCCCAGCGAAGACCATGCGCCCCGTCCCGGCTCCGGCGCTCCTCCGCGCCCTGAGGCTGCTGCTCCCGCTGGCCGCCGGCGCCGTCGCCTACCCGGCCTGGAGCAACTCCGACGACCTGGTGCACCTGTACACCTCCAGCGCCAGGAAGAGCTTCCACCTGCAGATCCACCCCGACGGACGCGTGGACGGCAGCCCGGAGCAGACCGTGGACAGTAAGTGCCCCGCGGAGCTGCCCAGCCGGCTGGTGCGGGAAGGATGGGGAGGGAGACGGGATATGTCTAGGATCGCCTCCTTGGCTCCGGAGTGCTAGGAATTCAATAAGAGTACAATGGAATAGGATAGGGAAGGGAAGGGAAGAGAACGGTAGGGTAGGGTAGGGTTGGGTAGAAATATAGAGTAGAGTAGAGTAGAGTAGAGTAGAGTAGAGTAGAGTAGAGTAGAGTAGAGTAGAGTAGAGTAGAGTAGAATAGAATAATGGAATGAAGAATAGAATAGAATAGAATAGAATAGAATAGAATAGAATAGAATAGAATAGAATAGAATAGAATGGAATGGAATGGAATGGAATGGAATGGAATGGAATGGAATGGAATGGAGTGGAGTGGAGTGGAGTGGAGTGGAGTGGAGTGGAGTGGAGTGGAGTAGGGTAGAATAATGGAATGAAAAATGGAATGAAGAATAGAATAGAATAGAATAGAATAGAATAGAATAGAATGGAATGGAATGGAATGGAATGGAATGGAATGGAATGGAGTGCAGTGGAGTGGAGTGGAGTGGAGTGGAGTGGAGTAGGGTAGAATAATGGAATGAAAAATGGAATGAAGAATAGAATAGAATAGAATAGAATAGAACAGAACAGAACAATTGTCGATAAGAAAGACAAAAAAGTCTGGATAATGGACGTGGCAGTGCCTGGAGACAGCAGAATAGACGAGAAAGAACTGGAGAAGATAACAAAATACAAAAACCTACAAATAGAAATAGAAAGACTGTGGCAAAAGCAAGCAAGGGTAGTACCAATAGTCATAGGCTCCTTGGGTGCAATCCCAAAACAACTGGAGCACCACTTGAACACCACTGGCATTGACAAATTCGCTATTAGTCAATTGCAAAAGGCGGCCTTATTAGGAACTGCTTCCATCCTGCGACGATACCTGTAATACCATCAAACATCCACATCTGCCTATCCCAGGTCCTGGGTAAGGACTCGATAGGGAGACAAAATGCCAAATCCAGTATGAACATCTGGCTGACTGCGCGATGATCCTCCATCATCATCATCATCATCATCATCATCATAAAGTTGGAAGGGATCTTGGAGGTCATTGAGTCCAACCTTCTGCTCAGTCAGGAAACCCTACACCATTTCGGAGAGGATAGGATAGATAGGATAGGATAGGATAGGATAGGATAGGATAGGATAGGATAGAATAGAATAGAATAGAATAGAATAGAATAGAATGGAATGGAATGGAATGGAATGGAATGGAATAAAATAGACTAGACTAGACTAGACTACAGTAGAACAGAATAGAATAGAAAATATAGCATGGCAATGGTGTGGCATGGAATGGAATACAATAGAATATGGAATGGAATTTCTTACAGCTAGGAAGATTGTTTCCCCTTTTGACTAAGATTGTGGCAAATGTTTTGCTACAAATGGCCAGAATTTGGGAAGACCTGGCAGAAACCAGATAACAGTATTCCGGTATTTGAGGTCACCCTTTCTGGCTTAAGAGATGTATGAAGAGGCCTGCTAATATTTAAGCTGTTCACTTCCAGGTACTTTGGTAATCAAAACCTTGCATCCAGGCTATGTAACGATCAATGGTGCGAAGAGTGAACTCTACCTTTGTATGGACAGTAGCGGAAATCTCTTTGGATCGGTGAGTCCCAATATTCATTTGGGATTATTTGACTTCTTTCTGAGCGCAGCCAAGCCATTAAGGGCTTGGGCTACGATAGTTAAATTAGGTTTTCTTTGCCTACGAAGTGGAAGGAGACAATTACTGTCTACCATGCCCAAGACCTTTCAGTCGTGATTGGGGAATGTTTGTTCCTTTGTCTGGAGATCCGGTGACATAACATGATGTGAAAGGGTGCTCACATCTTCTTTCGACGTGAGAGACCCCCAAACTTTTGGGCACCAGGGACCAGTTCCGTGGAGAGAGGTTTTTCCACGGACCGGACGGTGCATGGTTTTGTGTGTTGCCTGCATTCTGTGGATGGGGCTTTGCTTTTTTGTGTGGACCGGTTACTGCCATGCCTTGGCATGGTACCGGTCCACGGACCTGGGGTTGGGGACCCTGTTCTAGAACATCCACAGCGTGTTGTGATTCATCTATGGAGAACTTGGAGGTCAGGCACCAAGGATCAGGACAGCAGGTGAAGTTGCAGTTTAGAAAATTTATTGTTCAGTCCTGTACACAAAAGTCAAGTAAGGGTCAATTGACTAAATTGACCCCAGGTAAGAGTCAACGGAATTCAAGAGGATTGGATTCACAACCTTCGTGAGAATGTAATGACTCTTAAGTTTATGATGCACTAAATTCCACCTTCTCCAACACTGCCTGCTCTTCTATATTGGAGGGACATATAGTTTTCTTCACTCTGGATCTGATCCACTGCGCCACTGACAGTGAATTGAACATGATACATGAAACTTCCTGACAGTGATGACAATTAATTAGTGGAAAGGCTTGCCAACAGAAATCGTGGGTGCTCCATCACTGGAGGTTTTTAAGAAGAGGCGAGAAAGTCACTTGTTCTAAAATGATATAGGTTAGGGGTATGTCAGAGCAAAATGGACATTGCCAACAAATTTGGAATGCTTGGGTATGGCTAGGAGGGCACTGACTTTTCTAGGCTGACCTATTCATATTTCCTGGTAAAATACATGGGAAAATCCCATTGGAGGAAAATTCCACTTAGGGTTAGGGTTAGGTCACCATGAACTCGGAGAGCAAAATGGACATCGCCAACAGATTCAGAGTGCTTGGGTATGGTTAGAAGGGCACTGACTTTTCTAGGCTGCCCTATCCATATTTCCTGGTAAAATAGATGGGAAAATCCCATTGGAGGAAAATTCCACTTAGGGTTAGGGTTAGGTCACCATGAACTCATAGAGCAAAATGGACATCGCCAACAAGCTTGGAGTGCTTGGGTATGGTTAGGAGGGCAGTGACTTTTTTGGGCTGCCCTATCTATGTTTCCTGGTAAAATACATGGGGAAATCCCATTGGAGGAAAATTCCACTTAGGGTTAGGGTTAGGTCACCATGAACTCATAGAGCAAAATGGACATCGCCAACAAGCTTGGAGTGCTTGGGTATGGTTAGGAGGGCACTGACCTTTCTAGACTGCCCTATCTATGTTTCCTGGTAAAATACATGGGAAAATCCCATTGGAGGAAAATTCCACTTAGGGTTAGGGTTAGGTCAACATGAACTCATGGAGCAAAATGGATATCGCCAACAACCTCGGAGTGCTTGGGTATGGTTAGGAGGGCAGTGACTTTTTTGGGCTGCCCTATCTATGTTTCTTGGTAAAATACATGGGAAAATCCCATTGGAGGAAAATTCCACTTAGGGTTAGGTCACCATGAACTCATGGAGCAAAATGGACATCGCCAACAAACTCGGAGTGCTTGGGTATGGTTAGGAGGGCACTGACTTTTTTGGGCTGCCCTATCTATGTTTCCTGGTAAAATACATGGGAAAATCCCACTGGAAGAAAATTCCACTTGAGCAGGGGGCTGGACTAGAAGACCTCCAAGGTCCCTTCCAGCTCTATTCTATTCATATCCATATTCATCATATGTTATGAGATTTTGAAGGCAATCCTGTGCTTGAGTCCGGCTTAAACTCCTCCCTCCCCCGAAAAAATAAATAAATCACCATGTCCCTGGGATTGCAGTCATCTGTCCGTTTCTATCAAATCTCCAGGCTATTTAAATATTAGCTCAGTACAGGTATAGTCCTTGACGTACGCCCAAATTTGAGAGATTTGTTAAGTGATTTTGGCCTCATTTCACGCCCTTTCTCGCCACCGTCTTTTAGGGAATCACTGCAATTGTTAAGGCAGTACCACGGTTGTTAAGCAAAACCAGCTTCCCCTTTGGGTTTTTTTGTCAGAAGATCGCAAAACGGGAGCACGTGACCCCCCCGGGGGGACACTGCGACTGTCCTAAATACGAACCGGTTGGCAAGCATCCGAATGTAAATCACGTGACCCTGGTGATACGGCGGCGTTCATTAAAGTTGAAAAATGGCTGTAAGTCACTTTTTTTCAGTACTGTCGTAACATCGGACACTAAGAGAACTGTTCCAGGTTGACGACTCTTGTATACCGGACCTGGGTGTGCATCGCTTGCAAACGAAACTCTTTCGAGATGTAAGAGCCGTGAAATCAAACATCCTAAAGAAGTGCATAGAACAAGTACTGGGGAAATATTCAATACCTAAGTTAATTCTTCGCCGTATTTTTCAGCCCTGCCTTGTTTTGTTTGCGTTTCTCTTTTCTTTAGCGTTCCTTCAGCAATGAGGACTGTACCTTTAAGCACACGATGCTCGAAAATGGCTACGATGTTTACCAGTCTCCCAGGCATAATTTCCTGGTCAGCCTAGGAAAGGTGAAGAAAGCTTTTGTTCCCAGAATGAACCTACCGCCCCTTTCTCAGTTTTTAACCAGAAGGAACGAAATCCCCTTGGTCCAGTTCTACACACCCAGGCCTCAGCAGGAGGAGCCCAGGAACACCGACGCCGAGCGGTGTGGGGGCCTCTTGTCCACTGGAAAGTTGCCCGAAGAAAATCCGGATCAGGAGGGCCTCCACCCTTGCTTGGACAGCTCCGATCCCGAAGAGAGAGACCCCCTCGGAGTCACGCTCAGCGGAAGGTTTCCTAGCCCTCGAACGGATTCCTGAACCTGAGGACGACGTCGGGGAAGCGGACTCTCTGCTGAATCGTCGAAGAAAGCTAAATTCCTTTCGTTTTTTTTCCCCCAGATGAATTGTTCAGAATAAGGGGTGATAGCTGGGTCTGCATCTTTCCGGTCCCGGCACTGATCCTTAATGACAAACCTGGAGCGTGGGTGAAGAGGGTAGTGTTGTACATTTTGCTCTATCTACGTTGTAATGTTGAAGCTTCGTAACCGTAATGCTGTACGGTAGATAAGAGTCTTGCCGTGCCACACAGCGCACCCACAGCTGACTGGCTGAGATTGTGAAGTCGCCAATGTTTTATCATTGGAAACTTTGCCTTGATTGGGCTCCATTTTAAGGAGATGGCCCAGAACCTCTGCAGGGGCAGAAGGAGAAAAAAAAGGATCTCTATTAGAATAGAATAGAGCTGGAAGGGACCTTGGAGGTCTTCTAGTCCAGCCCCCTGCTCAAGCAGGAGAACCTAGACCATCTCGGACAAGGGACTGTCCAGTCTCTTCTTAAAAACCTCCAGTGATGGAGCGTCCATGATTTCTGAAGGCAACTTCTGTTCCACTGACAAATTGTCCACACTGTTAGGAAGTTTCTCCTTAATTCCAGGTTGCTTTTCTCTTTGGTCAGTTTCCAACCATTTTAATGGCCAACACCAGGTGACCAAAAAGTGCACAATCCCAGTAGGATTTTCTCAGTTTTTAACCAGAAGCAATGAAATCCCCTTGGTCCAGTTCAACGTGCCAAGTGACCCCTGGGGTGGCGATGATCCTTTGGATGAGAGAGACCCTTTGGGTGTCATACTGGACAAAAGATCTTGTAGCCCTCGAATGGATCACAAAACCTGAGGTGACTGGGGAGAATTGGACCCTCCCCCAAAGCGTCAAAAAAAGCTAAATTCCCCCTTTTCAGAATAAGAAGCGATACCTTGCTTTCCCGAAAATAACACCCAGTGGGAAAATACGCCCTAGCGTGATTTTTCCAAATGTTCGTACTATAAACCCCAGCCAAAAATAAGCCCCAGTTAAAATTGTCCGCCAGACAGACGCGTTTAGTACTGTATTTCCCCCCCAAAATAAGATGTAACCGGAAAATATACCCTAATGTGTCTTTCGGGGCAAAAATTAATATAAGACCGGCCTTATTTTCAGGGAAACACGATAGCTATGCATGCATCTTCCTGGTCCCAGCCCTGAAGGATAAACCAGGAATGTGGGTTACGAGGAGAAAATATTTCCCTCAATCTACATTTTAATGTTGAAGTGTCCCGACGGTGATGCTGTAGCAGGGATCTTCAAACTTGGCTCTTTTATGACTCGTGGACTTCAACTCCCAAATTCCTCATCCAGCGTGTCTGGCTGAGGAATTCTGGGAGGGGTTTTCAAACATGGCCCTTTTATGACTTGTGGACTTCAACTTCCAGAATTCCTCAGCCAGCGTGCCTGCTTGTTTAGTGACTGTTTAGTGACTGATACAGACCCCAGCTTGCTCTTAAAGAGACACAGACCCTGCTGAGTCATTCCCACCATTACATCCTACATTACATAAGTTGGTTAGCTGTTAAATCATAACCTTGACACAGCCCTCTTCCAAAACAGTGTGTGACATGGCCCAATGATCTCACAATATCCCAAAACAAGTATAAGGGGTCCACTTCAGCTAGGATCTTCCTTTGGATCTTGGCAGGATTCTCTCATGACTAAGCTGGATTCAGGATATTGACCCATCCTATCAACCTGTTGGCTGAAGGTAGGCTTTGCGTAGGAAAGATTAAATCCTGCTTTTTTGGCATGGGTTATCAACAACCAGATGGAGGGGAACAGGCAGATATGCGTCCTGTCCGGGAGAACAGAGTTGAGATGCTCCATAAAGCAGCTTTGTGGTCTGTTAAAGCATTAGCTGGCATCCATCCCTGCGGCCTGGGGTTCAAATCCAAGTCAAGCAATTGTTAGGATTTACCTAACAATCATATGAATCTCTTTACAGTGATTTGCTGTGGTAAAAACAAGATTGTAAAATGGATTATCAACAATCAGATGGAGGGGAACAGGCAGTTAAATGTTCTTTCCAGAACAGAGCTGAGATACTCCATAATGCAGATAACAAGAAGGCAATGTATTTATTTTTCTATTCCCATATTTATTTATTTGAATTATTTACATGTTGAAGATTTATGAGTATTTATGTTTGTTATTCTGCCCCTCAGTTCTGTCTCTCGATGAAGACAAAATAAATGTTTCCCGTTTTTCGAGGAAGACACGTCTTTATTAAACATTCCTGGTTTAATTGGCAGCGCTTTCCTTTTAATTAACCACATCCCAGCCCATTGTGACGCTCTGCCATTCTCCATCGCTCATTAATGTCACCAGAGGGTTTTTTTGGGGGTGGGGGGTGGGGGAAAGATTTACAAATAAAATAAAATAAAATAAAAACCAGACTTTTGTGGCTCACTCAAAAGGTATATTTTAATGATCTTGAAAGTTAACATTAGAAAGAATAAGAAAAACAATTCTCTGAAGGCTCAATAAATATAAACGAGGCAAGGGTTTTGCATACGTTAAAAGGAAATACAGAGCAGTTGATTATTTAAACAAAGGAAATTGTAGACTTTCATTGATGGGGGCTTGAGGTCAAACACAAAGAAAACAAACCGACTGAAAAAATTATGCATCTTAAATACACATACAGGTAAAACAAGACCTCAGGTTTTGCATATCTGAAATTAAGAGTCAACAGCGCAGGCAAGGCAAGGATATTTGGAGGTATATATTTGCTATCTAGGAAAAGCTAGATTTTGAAAGTCTGTCTGTCTGTCTGTCTGTCTGTCTATCTATCTATCTAATCTGTGTCTATCTGTCTATATATTTTCTATCTAGGAGAAGCTAGATTTTGAAAGTCAATGTTTGATGCTCCTTCTGACACATCCCAGGATCCTTGCCCCAAACTGGTGAGGCCATTGACTCTTTTAATGCCATCCCAGGAAAGGATGTGGAGAACACAAGAGCTGGACTGATCTAATTGCATTTTCTACAAATATGACTCGGTGAAGTGTTACATCAGGGGTCTTCCAACTTGGCCCTTTTATGACTTGTGGGCTTCAACTCGCAGAATTTCTCAGCCAGGCACGCATTCTGGGAGTTGAAGTCCACAAGTCATAAAAGGGCCAAGTTTGAAGACCCCTATGTTACATCTTCTTCGTCTTTGGCATGTGGGTGACAGAACATCTAAATCTTCATAAAGCCATAAGCCAATTTCTGAGTGTTAGCATGCAACCCAAAGACTCGTGCACTTGGTCTCCATGTTAAAAAGACACGCGTTGTCTTATCTCCAAGAATAAGGGACTGGGTCTGACAACAGAATCATCATGGTGGAAGTCTACTACAGAGAAACACGTTATCTTATCTCCAAGAATAAGGGACTGGGTCTCACAACAGAATCATCATGGTGGAAGTCTAATGCCCGCGAGTATTGGAACGCATCAGAATAATTTCACATTGGAGCAGTAGCTTTACTGGCCAACACAAGGTGACAAAAAAAGAAAAATGCACAATTGTTTTAATTCTCCGTAGCGGCTACAGAGTAGTGGGTTGAAGAACCAACGTTAACCCCTCAATTCTCTGATGGTTTTGGAAGTAGGTTGTCAAAAATTAATAAGGAAGGTCCAACTTCATCTTGCTTATAACTTAGAATGTGGTTTGGCTGTATAAGATTTTTTTTTTTGAAAGAAAAATCATACACACACTGACACACACACACACACACATATATATTGCACTATTATTCACAGATAATTCCTTGCAATGAGCATAGGGTAAATTCCACCAGGGAACTCCCTTGTGCAATTTCTGCTAAAACAAACTTGAGTCTTCTTAGGGCAGGGGGTCTTCACACTTGGCCCTTTTATGACTTGTGGACTTCAACTCCCAGAATTCCTCAGCCAGGCCAAGTTTGAAGAACCCTTGACTTGTGGACTTCAACTCCCAGAATTCCTCACGCAGCGTGCCTGGCTGAGGAATTCTGGGAGTTGAAGTCCACCAGTCATAAAAGGGCCAAATTTGAAGACCCCTGTCTTAAATCTAACAAACAAAATGGAGGCCGGCTGAGGAATTCTGGGGGTTGAAGTCCACAAGTCATAAAAGGGCCAAATTTGAAGACCCCTGTCTTAAATCTAACAAACAAAATGGAGGCCGGCTGAGGAATTCTGGGGGTTGAAGTCCACAAGTCATCAAAGGGCCACATTTGAAGACCCCTGTCTTAGGACATCAGTGTGCCTCAAGCAAAGTTGGACTGGGACAGCAGCTTTTCTGAGGATCAGATCTGGTTTTTGTCTCCTATTCTGATTAAAACAGTTACTAAAGGATTCTCTTGAGTTATCCAAGTTATTTAAAATTATTAAAACAAAAGGACAAGGGTATTTTTTTTTTTGTTGGTTTCTTAGCCGAAGCTACTCCGTCTAAGCTTTCTGCTGGGATCATCCCACACCATGTTCCCTCAATTAGAGATCCAGTTCCACCCTTTTAGAGGCCTGCTCTTAAAAAGGCAAGCTGGATTACACTCTGGCTTACGGTCTGATCCTGATTAAATCTAAAACAGGGGTCCCCAACCCCTCCACGTCCAGGGCCTGGTGGCGGCCCGTGGCCCGTAGGGAACCGGGCCAGGGAAGTGGTGGGCGAAAACACACGTGTGTGTGCACACTCGTACAGCTGCATTTGCAAAACCCTAACTTTTCCGGGCCCGTGGAGATGGTGATGGTGCTGGGGGGAGGGGGGAGAAGAGGGGATGGTTTTGCGCACAGCCGCGTTTGTGAAAACGGCACGCACACCCCTGGAACCGTCCCCTCTCCCCCCCCCCGGTTGCCACCAATCAGGAAAAAGGTAGGGGAACGCTAATCTAAAGATCATCTGTTAATTTATATTGCGGTATTCAAATTCTGCCTTTTCCTTAATGGGCTCCAGGAGAGCATTTAGAACAGCAGCTGGTTCCAGAAGCTTCTCCAGAACGTAACCTTTTCCGCCAGCCAATGCTGATTCCTTGTCTTTCTTTTTTTTTTTTTCCTTTTCTTCCCCTCCAACAAAGGTGAACAGGCAAAAAAAGGTAAGAGCCAAATGAATTCCTTAGAAGAAAACTCTTTCCGACATGCTAGGTCAGGGGTCTTCCAACTCGGCCCTTTGATGACTTGTGGACTTCAACTCCCAGAATTCCTCAGCCAGCGTGCACGCTGGCTGAGGAATTCTGGGAGTGGAAGTCCACAAGTCATCAAAGGGCCGAGTTGGAAGACCCCTCGTGCTAGGTGTTCAAGCACGATGGAAAAGGTGATTACGAGGCCACGGGGGAAGCAATAATTCCTGCCCGTGTTAAGTTTCCCAGCTGCCTGCTCTCAGCTGTCACTTAGGGTGTGCAAGTGATCCCCTCGGTTGAGAAAGAGGCAGTGGATTTTCGGCTGGAGGCCGTCCTCTCTCACTTCCAGTTTGACAAGGAAGCGGCTGATCCCGGTATTGGGAGTCAGCGAAGACAATTCAGCCTTTGTCAACGTGGCGGGCAAGGTGCACCGCAGGTCTGAAGTGAAGTAGCCGATCCAGTTCCTCATGTAGGCCCCATGACTCACAACCAGGATGTTGGCTGCCAGCCCTTCTGCAGCTCCTTCGGAATTAGCATCGCGGGCCAGCCCAGCCTGGTGGTTTGGCAAAGAAGGGGTGGACGTTCCTTCTGCTGTTTCCTGGGCCACCAGATGGCAAATGTGTTCGAAAAAATCCTTGACCCGGGCTTTGACCTAAAGGGAAAAGCAGAAGGGAAGCTTTGCAAAGTTATTTGCAGGATAGGTGTTTTTTTTTATTTTTTTAAATCAAGGTGACCTCTGAAGTCCGTCCTCAATTTCTCTCTGTTTCTGAGTTGCTTTTCTGAACTTCCAACAAATTTGGCTTCATTTTCCACCTTGGCAGAAATAAAACCTGGACATTCCAAGGCTCTGGTTCATATTCATCAATAAATAACAACAACAACAAAGTAGCAACAACGGTGCAGTGGAAGATCTGCAGGAAATATCAGTTGCCTGTAAGCAAGAACTGGTGGGATTATAAAATAGAGAAAATCGTAGAAAATGATAAAGTTAAACTGCTCTGGGACTTCAGAATTCAAACAGACAAGCACCTGCAACATACCACCCCAGACTTAACAATTGTCGATAAGAAAGACAAAAAAGTCTGGATAGTGGACGTGGCAGTGCCTGGAAACAGCAGAATAGACGAGAAAGAACTGGAGAAGATAACAAAATACAAAGACCTACAAATAGAAATAGAAAGACTGTGGCAAAAGCAAGCAAGGGTAGTACCAATAGTCATAGGCTCCTTGGGTGCAATCTCAAAACTGGAGCACCACTTGAACACCATCATTGGCATTGACAAATTTGCCATTAATCAATTGCAAAAGGCAGCCTTACTGGGAACAGCTTCCATCCTGTGACGAGATCTGTAACACCATCAAACATCCACATCTGCCTATCCCAGGGCCTTGGTGATTGTCCACTAGGACTCCGAGGTCCCTCTCACAGTTGCTACTATTGAGCAAGGTACCCCGTAAACTATATCTGTGCATTTGGTTTTTCTTGCCTAAATGTAGAACCTTGCTTTTTTCACCCTTGAATTTCATTTTGTTAGAGAGCGCCCAGTGTTCAAGTTTGTCCAGGTCCTCCTGTATCCTAAGCCTGTAACCTCTGGAGTGTTGGCTATTCCTGCCAGCTGGGTGTCCTCTGCAAATTTGATGAGTTCCCCATCTATCCCCTCGTCCAAATCGTTGAGGAAGATGTTGAAGAGCACTGGGCCCAGAACAGAGCCCTGGGGCACCCCACTACACACTTCCTTCCATGTAGATGCGGTTCCGTTGAGGACCCCACGCTGAGTACAGCCGGTCAGCCAGCTACGAGTTAGCCATCTCAGCCATTCACAAGTGCATAAAGATTCGGTCCATCCCTTCCCAACGGACCACAAACCCCAACAGAATCCTTACTTCATCCAGGGTTTCTCCTCCAGGAGGGGTAAAAGACAGATATGGCTGTCCAGCTTCCTTGGCCATGGCCTTAAGATCACCGAGAGGCCTTCCTTCTGCCACTCCGTAATTCTACGAAGACAGGAGAGACAATTATGTAGCAATGATGGCGGCCGTGGTGCAGCTAGTATTCCAGACACATTTCCCTTCTCCTTTGGAGAAGGAAGGAAGCAAAGCAGCTTTCTGAGGCAGCTCCTGACTCCCCAAAGGAACTGCTTGTCTTCCGTCTCGCCTTAGTTTCCCCCCCCAGTCTCTTTTTATTAAAAAGTTTTATAAAAATCAACCCACCCACCCCCCCTCCCTCCCCCACTTCCCAGAGCTGAATACAGGGTTACAAATATGATCATCATAATCTAACTAACATTAACCAACTATATAAATAACCAAATCCATAATGCACTTTAACTCCCTTTAATATAAATATAAACAAATTGAAAGCAAACATGAGAACATAAACAAATTAATATCCTAATTATTAAACAATACAGTCCCCAAATAGATAAACAATACTAATACTAAAAATAATAATAATATCATAATAATACTCTAAAATTCACTCATAGGCTAAATCAGTGGTTCTCAACCTGTGGGTCGGGACCCCATTTGGGGTCGAATGACCATTTCACGGGGGTCGCCAAACAACGCAGTCCGCCATTTTTCCCCCCTTTTCCTTAGCTGCGCTACTCCCTTTTATTCTATTGGCTTTTGAAAGCTAATAGAATAGACTCTCTTGAATAGAGTCTAATTGGCGCAGCAGTTAGACTGCAGTACTGCAGGCCACTTTAGCTGACTGTGTTCAGCAGGTCAGCGGTTCAAATCTCACCGGCTCAAGGTTGACTCAGCCTTCCATCCTTCTGGGGTAGGTAAAATGAGGACCCAGATTGTTGGGGGGGGGGGCAACCTGCTGACTCTGTAAACCGCTTAGAGAGGGCCGTAAAGTCTTCCATAGGGCAGGGGCTGCCAAGGAAAAGGGACGCTTCCTAGCTACCCCAAAGTAGCAAAAGTAGGGGAAGGGGCTAAGAAAGTGCCCAGCCTATCTGATTGGGTAGGATGGGTAGATGCTTTAGGCCAGGGTCTCCTGCTTGAACAGGGGGCTGGACTAGAAGACCTCCAAGGTCCCTTCCAGCTCTATTTTGTTCTGTTCTATACTATTAATCCATTCCATTCTGTAATTCCATTCCATATTCCATTTCTATTCCATTCTATTCTGTAATTCTATTCTATTCTGTAATTCTATTCTATTCCATACTCTATTCCATTCCATTCTATTCTATTCTATTTTCCATTCCATTCCATTCTATTTTCCATTCCATTCCATTCTCTATTCCATTCCATTCTATTTTCCATTCCATTCTATTCCATGTTCTATTCCATTCTCTATTCCATTCCATTCTATTCTATTTTCCATTCCATTCCATTCTCTATTCCATTCCATTCTCTATTCCATTCCATTCTATTTTCCATTCCAATCTCTATTCCATTCCATTCCATTCCATTCTCTATTCCATTCCATTCTATTCTATTCTATTTTCCATTCCATTCCATTCTCTATTCCATTCCATTCTTGACAAGGACTGTTTCCTTGGATTAGATTGGATGAGGCCCCCTTTTTTGGAAGACGAACAGCTGCCCTACCTCGTAACGGTGGTCCCTGCACATGTACAGAACTGCAATTTGCAAACCAAGGCAACCGATGGAAGCAGAGTGGTCTGGCCTTAACCCTAACCCCGTTCTACTCCGTTCTTATTATGATGATGCAGCCATGAAATCTGGTATTGATCTTCTAGAGGCAAAGAAATACTTACCCGTTCTCGAAGGCGGGCGTCGCATTTTACAGGAATCTCTTTGCAGTGCTGGCTATTTCTAAGAATGGAGGCTGTGGTCTGAAATGTTAAAATGAATGTTGAAAAAAATTATTGTTTTATTTTATTTAAAAATTCCATTTCCAGATTTAGAGTCTGACTCCTGAATAACTCTGGGTGGTTTACAATTAAAAAACAAACAAACAAAAAAAAACACAAAACGGAAATACAAGTAAGAAAGAACTATGGAAAAACAATACAAAGACCACTTAGCAGGCATGAGAAATGTAGCAGAAAGACCCCCCCCATTCTTCTGGAGCTTTTTTTCCAGAAATGCTGACACCAGCATCAAGGCACGGCCATTTCAGTGTCTAAAGGGTCCACCTTGTTATGTCATATATATATATTTTACTATATAAGAATGCAATTTTTAAGACTGTATTGTCACTCGATTCACTAATCATTGTAAACGTTACGCTTTTATAGTATTTATCCCACAAGAAAAATGAACTCCAAAAACAAACTCCTAGAATTATTACTGAATAGAATAGAATGCAATAGAATAGAAAATAAGGATAGAATAGAGCAGTGGTTCTCAACCTTTTTAATGCCGCGACCCCCAACCGGTCGTAAGTCAAGGACTACTCAACCAGTTGTAAGTCAAGGACTACTCAACTGGTGCAGCACCATTTGCAGAATGGGACTTTTGGCGGGCTCAGCAGGGCAGAGACAGCCTGGATAATTCCTATTGGCTTTGGAAAGCCAATAGAATTAGACTCTATTCAAGAGAGTCTCTTCTATTGGCTTTCAAAAGCCAATAGAATAAAAGGGAGTAGCACAGCTAAGGAAAAGGGGGAAAAAATGGCGGACTGCGTTGTTTGGCGAACCCCGTGAAATGGTCGTTCGACCCCAAATGGGGTCCCGACCCACAGGTTGAGAACCACTGGAATAAAGAATAGGAAATAATAAGGAATAGACTAAACTAGACTACAGAATAGGAAATAATAATAGAATAGAATAGAGAATAGGAAATAATAAGTAGAGTAGAGTAGAGTAGAATAGATTAGAATAGAATAGGAACTGGAAGGGACCTGTGAGGTTTTCTAGTCCAGCCCCCTGCTCAAGCAGGAGAACCTATACCATTTCAGACAAGTGACTGTCTTTTATTAAATTTCTTTGTCTTCCAAAAAGTCTAAGTATTTGTTCGTGCACAGTTCCACCCACAATATACTTGCCTGCCTTGCCCGAAGCAGATCACTGGTGAAGACATGAGTAAATCTGATATGACGGAGATACATCCCAGCTGCGTTGGCTTGCTTGAACCCAGTGTCTGTCAGAGGCTCATCCACACCCTGACCTGCAAGAGCCAGCATGGGAATGCATCTGATGGTTAGTACAAGCATGTTTTAGCTCTCCTCGGTCGATCCTCTCCAGAGATCAGGGACAAGCATTAAGCTACAAAAGGGAGGTCCTTCTAAAAGAGCTCAGCTGTCTCTGGAAGAAGTCAACAATCATGTAAGCTAAAGGCATCTTCCTTTCTTTTGCCTTATGTGATCCTAACTTAAAACATCTGTTTAATTTACACCATCTTGTGAAGGCCCATCTAGGTCACTGACTCAAGAAACAGCACGGAATAAGATAAACAGGCTCCGCGCCAGCCTTTTTCAAGCTAGTGTGGTCAGGAGGCAGGGACCCACAATCTACACAAGTGTAGAATCACGAACAGGTTAAATCAGGGATCTTGGCTCTTTTATGACTAGTGGACTCAGCCAGTGTGCCTGCAGTTTGCAACTGTAAACTCCACAGGAAATCCACATCCAGGTTTACACCTGTGGTGGGACCTTGAAAACAGACTCCTAAGCTGTTGCTTTGAGGTCACACAGGAACGGAGGGGCAGGGGAACATATTCTCTGGGCTGGTGCCCATCTGTCACAATCTGGGGCAATGCCAACCACGGGAAGGGCAAAGCTCAAAAGAGATGCTTTGGAACACGTGGGAGCCTTCATGATGCCCCCCGCCCCCATCCCCCTTCACATTGTGCAAGCAGCAAAGTGCTTTTTCAGGTTGTTCTAAGATATATGCAATAGTACCTGGACAAAATCAGTATTTAATTTCCAAATAAAAGAGATAAAGGGCCCCGTGATTTAATAACCACCAGGAGAAACAAACCTTGCATTATCTTCTCTTTGTTGTATCTTGTTTCTCCACTGTGGGGGGGAAAAAAACAATAGAAACCAAAAACTTAGAAACAGGAGAAAAAGCAGTTATGATTGAGAGACTACTACTACTACTAGTAGTAGTAACAACAACAATAATAACAAGAACAACATTGGAAGGGACCTTGGAGATCATCTAGTCCAACCCCCTTGTTCAGGTAGAAAACCCATATATACCAGTGATGGTGAACTTTTTAGAGACCGAGTGCCCAAACTGTAACCCAAAACCTACTTATGCATCATCGCCTGCCAGGTGGGTGTGGCCCATTGGGTGGGTGTGGCCCATTGGGTGGGCGTGGCTGTGGTGGTAGCAGCAGACTGGGTGGGACTAAAAAGTTCAATCAATCAATTCCAACTTTGCAAGATCTTTTTTCCCCGCGAGAAGTTGAAATTGACTGATTGAACCTTTTTTTTTCTTTTGTACACAGTGGCAGAGGCCTAAAGCGAAAAGGTTTTATAAAACCCAGCTGAAGGCCTAGGACTGGGGCGACGGCGCGCGTGCCCACAGAGAGGGTTCTGAGTGCCACCTCTGGCACCCGTGCCATAGGTTCGCCACCACTACTATATACCATTCCAGACAAATGGCTGTCCAGTCTCTTCTTGAGCCGGGATCTTTAGTGTTATTCAGCCCTTACAGCACTGACTCAGATGAGGTAGCCCAGACTTTCCTGGCTGACAAAACACACAATTTCGTTACGTACACACCAACACTGCTGGTGGGGACGCTCCCTGTGTAGCAAATGCTCCCTGCCTCTCTTGAGGCACAGGCCTGGCTCCAGGAAATCTACCAGTGACTCCTCAGCTCTGACTTGATCACAGGGACTCATGTCACTAAAATGTACCAGGAGAATTGTGACAGATTAAATAGGGAAAACCACTCTTTTCCCTAGCTGGAAAGATTGGCAGGACTCTGTATAATTTGGGTTAGGTACAATGATATATGATCAGTGAGGGAGTATTATAGCAGGGGTCTTCAAACGTGGCCCTTTTATGACTTGTGGACTTCAACTCCCAGAATTCCTCAACCAGCATGCACATTGGCTGAGGAATTCTGGGAGTTGAAGTCCACAAAGGGCCAACTTTGAAGACCCCTGTATTATAGGATCATAGGGGGAAAACTGGAATTACCAAGGCCTGCCAGCACCAATGAAAGCAATAAACGAGAAAAGGTCTAAGAGGGAAGACCGATATTATATACAAAAAGAAAAGGGACCCCTGCCTTAACCACTAGGCAAGCTGGCCAGCTGATGCAAGACACCCCCCCCCCCTGGGCGCACTCTCCTTCCTCTGTGAGGATCAGTCCTGAGGTAACGTCCACCCCGGGCTCCGGGGCTCCTTGAGCGGGCTTGGGGAGGAGAGACTGGGTCAGAATCAGGGTAAAGTGGAATGAAATAGAACAGTGGTTCTCAACCTTTTTAATGCCTCGACCCCCAACCGGTCATAAGTCGAGGACTACTCAACCGGTCGTAAGTCGAGGACTACTCAACTGGTGCAGCACCGTTTGCAGAATGGGACTTTTGTGGGCTCAGCAGGGCAGAGACAGCCTGGACAATTCCTGTTGGCTTTTGAAAGCCAATAGAATTAGAGTCTATTCAAGAGAGTCTATTCTATTGGCTTTCAAAAGCCAATAGAATAAAAGGAAGTAGCACAGCTAAGGAAAAGGGGGGAAAAAATGGCGGACTGCGTTGTTTGGCGACCCCCGTGAAATGGTCGTTCAAATGGGGTCCTGACCCACAGGTTGAGAACCACTGAAATAGAATAACATAGAATAAAAATGAATAAAGTATAATAATAATAATGATAATGAAAAAAATCACTAAAAGCAAAATGAGGTGTCTGCATAATTCCTGGAAGAAAGCTGTGTTAGCAAAAAGCTGTGTTAACTGACCTAATGCATATTGAGAAACATTGTATAAGTAAAACTGCCATCATTGTCTTCCCATGAGAAATGAACCTCACATGTGAGAAACTAACTGAATGATATACAATGTGGATTCCATATACAATGTAAGATTCCATGAATACTCCCTTTGTTCCTTAGAAAGGGAGAGCTATAAAGCAGTGGTTCTCAACTTTTTAATGCCGTGACCCCCAAGCGGTCGTAAGTCGAGGACTACTCAACCGGTCGTAAGTCGAGGACTACGCAGAATGGGACTTTTGGCGGGCTCAGCAGGGCAGAGACAGCCTGGACCATTCCTATTGGCTTTTGAAAGCCGATAGAATGAGACTCTATTCAAGAGAGTCTATTCTATCGGCTTTCAAAGGCCAATAGAATAAAAGGGAGTAGCACAGCTAAGAAAAAGGGGAAAAAAATGGCGGACTGCGTTGTTTGGCGACCCCCGTGAAATGGTTGTTCGACTCCAAATGGGGTCCCGACCCACAGGTTGAGAACCACTGCATAAAGATTGTAGTTTGGAACCGCCCCCCTGTTCAGAATTGCCTATCTCTTAATTGCTTCTGAACCTTTGCGCAAATAAACCTCTCGGTTTCACCAAGAAGGGAGCTGGAAGGGAGCCGGGAGGTCATCTAGTCCAACCCTTCCCTTCCACAAGAAGGGAGCTGGAAGGGAGCCGGGAGGTCATCTAGTCCAATCCTTCCCTTCCATAAGAAGGGAGCTGGAAGGGAGCCGGGAGGTCATCTAGTCCAACCCTTCCCTTCCACAAGAAGGGAGCTGGAAGGAACCCGGGAGGTCATCTAGTCCAACCCTCCCGCCCAGCCCAAGCAGGAGACCCAGCCCCGTTTCTGACCGATAGGCAGCCCAGTCTCTTCTTGAAAGCCTCCGGTGATGGAGCCAGCCACAACAACACAACAACGGAAGGCCACACAAACACAGCCCCTCTTCCCTCGGGGCAGGTCGGGGCAGAAGCCGCCCTGCGCCCAGGCGCCACCCGAAGAGCCGCGGAGGGGGACGGAGGGGCAGAGGTCCCATCCTCCGCGGCCCCAGGCAGCAACTCCCCCGGGGGGAACCCTTCCCGGCCTCCCTTCCGGCGCGGATACTCACTGTCGGATAACCGTTAAGCCGAAGGCAGCCATGCTTGACGCTGCCGGTGCCGCTCGCGCCGATGACGTCATGCCGGCTGCGCCGCGCCGCGCCCGGGCCAATAGCGGCGGGGCAGGGGTGAAGTCTCGCGAGAAGAGGCGGCGGGGAGGAGGAGGAGGAGGAGGAGGCCCCGCCCGCCTTGGGAATTGAATAATGGGGAGGGGCAGGATGGTGGGGGTGGCTCAGGCTGAGGGAAGAAGCGCTTCCCTCATTTTGGGCCTGGTTGTGGTGGGAGCCCTGGGGCTGGGCGAGCCCTGGGGAGGAGAGAGGAGGGGAAAGGAAGAAATAGATGGGGGGGAAAGGTAGGGACGAAAGAAGGGGACAAGGAGAAGGAGGGAAGGAAGGAAAGGGAAAGAAGAAATAAGCCAGGGATCTTCCAACTGGTCCCTTCTATGACTTGTGGACTTCAACTCCCAGAATCCCTCAGCCGGGCACGCCTGGCTGAGGGATTCTGGGAGTTGAAGTCCACCAGTCATAAAAGGGCTGAGTTTGAAGACCCCTCCCAGAATTCCTCAGCCAGGCATGCTGGCTGAGGGATTCTGGGAGTTGGAAGTCCACGTCATAAAAGGGCCCAGTTTGAAGACCCCCGAAATAGGCAGAAGGAAGGAAAGGAAGTAAGAAACTGGAGGAAGGAAAGGAAGAAATTGGTGGAAGAAAGGTAGAGTGGAGGAAAGTAAAGAAAGAAATGGAAGAAAAGAACGAAGAAATAGGCAGAAGGAAGGAAACTGGAGGAAGGAAAGGAAGAAATTGGCGGAAGGAAGGAAGGTAGAGTGGAGGAAAGTAAAGGAAGAAATGGAAGAAAGGAACAAAGAAATAGGCAGAAGGAAGGAAAGGAAAAGTGGAAAGGGATAGACAGAAGAAAGGAAAGGAAGAAATTGGTGGAAGGAAGGAAGGAAGTAGAGTGGAGGAAAGCAAAGGAAGAAATGGTGTAGGGTTTCCTGCCCGAGCAGGGGGTTGGACTAGATGACCTTCAAGGTCCCTTCCAACTTTACTATTATTATTATTATTATTAAATAGAAGAAAGGAATGAAGAAATAGACGGAAAGGAAAAGAGTGGAAAGGAAGAAATAGAAAAAAGAAAAAAAAGAAGAAATTGGAAGGACATAGAGTGAAGGAAAGGAAAGGAAAGAAAAGAACGAAAGGCGGAAGGAAACGAAAAGAACAGAAAGGAAGAAATAGAAACAAAATAGGCAGAAGGAAGGAAGGAGGAAGAATGGAGGAAAGGAAAGGAAGAAATAGGCAGAATGAAGGAAGGGGGAAAGGAAAGGAAGAAATAGACAAAAAGGAAAGGAAGAAATAGGCAGAAGGAAGGAAGGGGGAAAGGAAAGGAAGAAATAGACAAAAAGGAAAGGAAGAAATAGGCAGAAGGAACGGGGAAAGGAATGAGGGAGGAAGAAGGAAAGAAAAGTGTTAAAAATGGTCATAAATCACAATTTTCAGTGCCATTGAACGGTCACTAAATGAATTATTTGTAGCTCGAGGACTACCTGTATTCCTTAGTTCCTAACAGATCTATTTCCTCTCCCCATAATTGCCAGGACCAAGCATCTGAATTTTGATCACGTGATCATGGGAATGCCGCAATGGTCTCAAGTATGAAAAACAGTCATAAGTTACTTTTTTCAGTGCTGTTGTAACTTCGGTCACTTAATGAACTGTTGTAAGTTGAGGACTAGATGTAGAAAATTTCTATCTGGACTTAGAATAACAGAGTTGGAAGGGACTTTGGAGATCAGCTAGTCCAACCCCCTGCTCAGGCAGGAAACCCTATACCACTTTGGATAAATGGTTGTCCAGTCTCTTCTTAAAAAGGTCCAGTGTTGGAGCACCCACAACCTCTGGAGGCAGGTTGTTCCACTGGTTAATTGTTCTAACTGTCAGGAAATTCCTCTTTAGTTCCAGGTTGCTTTTCTCCTTGATTAGTTTCCATCCGTTGCTTCTTGTCCTGCCTTCAGGCGCTTTGGAGAATAGCTTGACTCCCTCTTCTTTGGGGCAGCCCATGAGATACTAAACTGGACATTCCCAATTCCCACCTGACTTGTTAAGTAGGACATCCCCGATTCTTCTTAAACTTGTTGCCATTAAATCCTGGCTCCCTGTCTCATGCCTGGACTGTAACTGTATTTTGGGGGGGTAGATCCATTCAGTGACCCATTAAAAATTTCAATCAGGTGAGACTCTCAGCTCTTCTAACTTAAGGGCTCTTCCTCCCAGTATTACTGCAGCTCTAAAACAAAAAACAAAAACACGCACGCTGGGAGACGCGCTCATGCACACATGCACACTGACAGGTCTTAAAAGGAGGCAGAACTGGTTAAACTTGCTCCCCTTCCACCCTTTTCTCACTTTTCTCAGCCTTATGTGTTGATTGAGCAAGGTACTCAGTCCTCTTCTGTGCTCTTCCTTCTTCCTTCTTAGTATCTAGACCTTCAGGTAGACCCAAAAGATCAGGCTTAAAAACTGCACTTTGACTGCAGGAGGCATCAGCCCGCGCAAGAGAGAGAGGTAAGTGGTTCCCTCATTTTGCTAGGGTATTTTTGTTTTCTTTTCTTAAGTCTTAAGTCCAGGCAGGACTGCATCAAAGTGTGTGTGTGTGTGTGTGGGGGGGGGGAAATACTCAGAAACAAACAAAAAAAGAAATCAAGCTTCCAAGTAGCCATTTTAGCAATGTTTAAAAGAGAGAAATTGTTCCTGCTTTTACTTCCTCTGCACTTTATGTATTGGAATGCAGCCAATAGCCCTTTTTGTATTTCAAAGCGTCAAGGCTTTACCGATGTACTTGTAGCTGAGAGCTATTAGCAAGAAGAGGCAGGGGTTTTTTTTGGGGGGGGAGAAAAGATTTTTAAGGTTTATAGTTAACGAATTCAAAGTACAGTATTTCAAAAGTGATTTTATTTCTTTATTTTTTTTTTCCTGCAGTCATTTTCAAAATATTGTAAAAAATCGCCTAATCGGTCACTTTTTTCTTTTTCTTTTTTAAGCAAAAGGAAGGCACGCTTGGTATGTATTTTACCTGGGAAAAGCAAAACCAGTTCCACGGACCACATTCAACCCCATATCCTCAGAAGGGCAGTCCTGTTATTAGGTGAATCGAAAGTTTAGGAAATGGGCACAAACTTTCAAGGCCGCTTCGTCAGACAATGCAGTTATAATGCCGCAGAATTCTGACTGTTGTTCGACTTGATCTTATCATTTGATAAGCAGTAATGCCACCTGATATAAATATCACCTGACAAACACACCCGTTCTTCACTTTTAACTACTTTCCACGTCAGATGGGCAGCTATTGGGGATGAATTGGGAGAAAAAATACTGACAGATGTCACCCATAGTTATAGCCTATTGAAGAATGAGTGCTTGTGAAAACTACTCTTTGTTGCCACAGCTAATCGTTTTGCTAGGATCTTGAGCTATAAAAATAGGGCCCACTATCTTTTATCAAGAGGGCAATAATCACGTGGCTCAAAATTAGAAGCCCATAAATTTAAATATTTAACCATCACCCATCCTATCAAGAAGTTTTCATTTGCAAGTGTACTGTTGGCATGGGGGAAATCTCAGATAAATTCACTAGACCAAGCTGGCTCAAATTTACATCGTAGCAGGGCTAGATTTGAGAAGCCCCATTCTCTAAATTCTTCTCTAAATCCGTATAAATCCAGAATGTTCTAAGAACTCAGCCTGTATAATCTCCGGCTTAGTGAACGATTTTGCAAAAGTCCCGATCGGTTTCCCCCCCCCCCCTAGCGAACACAAGAGAAGCACTTGAAATGACTGTTATGTTTCCTGTGGTTAAATTTCCTCACCACCCCGGTTAAACTCAACAATGACAAGCAGAGGCAAATTTCCAAACGCTACGATAGTAGTAGCAATAGCCGATCCACAGTATTTCCTGTAAAAAGTTGAAGGGCGAAGGCGTGGCTGCACTCTCCTAATGCTGAACGTTGTGCTGCCGTCATTCTCACAAGGTAAAGACGCAACAAACTCAGTTTAACAGAGGCAACCCTTTATAAGTTGCATTGGTGGCCAGGCTGTTTTTGTTATCCTTCTGGACCCCATTAACCTCTTTCCTCCAGAGAAATCTGGAGGCTTTTGGCACATTTATTTAAGAATTTTAAGAATTCTTAAATAAATAAATTCTTAAATTCTTTTAAGAATTGAACAGATATGTGCTTAAGCCCAATAGCTGGGTACACACCAGAGGCTGATAAGTCTGTTCCTATTTCTACTTGAGATGTTGCTGAACTCCTTCAGGGTCCAAGCTGGGGCTTCAGAGATAGCTCGCCCCAAATTGCTGGGGGATGATGATGATGATGTTGGAAGGGACCTTGGAGGTCTTGGATACACCAGACTTGGATACATGGAAGTTAACAGAATAACAGAATAACACAGTTGGAAGGAACGTTGGAGGTCATCTAGTCCCACCCCCTGCTCAGGCAGGAAACCCTATACCGTTTTGGACAAACGGCTGTCCAGTCTCTTCTTAAAAACTTCCAGGGTTGGAGCATTCACCCCTTCTGGAGGCAGGTTGTTCCACTGGTTAATTGTTCTCACTGTCAGGAAGTTTCTCCTTAGTTCTAGGTTGCTTCTCTCCTTGATTAGTTTCCACCCGTTGCTTCTTGTCCTGCCTTCAGGCGCTTTGGAGAAGAGCTTGACTCCCTCTTCTTTGGGGCAGCCCCTGAGATACTGGAAGGCTGCTATCCTGTCCCCCCTCGTCCTTCTCTTCATTAAACTAGACCTACCCAATTCCAGCAACTGTTCCTTGTGTGTTTTAGCCTCCAGATCTCTAATGTCAGTTGTTTTTAGCTGATTACCTTGAACAAAAGCAGCTTCAGGGGAAAACATTGAACTTGACCAAAGAAAATTAGATCTTTAGGAGGAGATATAAAGCATGGCAGGTTATCTTCAAGGCGCAATCCTTTAAAATCTATTTTTAATAGCGCCCGTCGGTTGAGGAAGGTAATGTTTTTTTAGAAAGAGTACATTGTTGTATTGTGATGTACGGAAGGCGTGCTAAGGTCAAGTATTGATGGAGTCTCCAGCTTTGTTCTCCTCTGATCAACCAAACGTTCTCTTGTCTTGGAAAACAAGGTCCTTTGTGGAACAAACCAAGGCTCTAGGCCTGTTTAGCTTGCTAAAGGGACGACACAGAAGTCATGTGATTTGCTAGCTTGCTTATTGGCAGAAGAACAGCAAAGAATTCATTTTCAGTTGACGAGAGGTAACTGATGGTATGATGGCATGATGTAACTTGCACCAGAAGGCAGGACGAGAGACAACGGTTGGAAACCGATCAAGGAGAGAAGCAAGCAGGAATTAAGGAGGAACTTCCTGACAGTGAGGACAATTAACCAGTGGAACAGCTTGCCACCAGAAATCGTGGGCGCTCCATCACTGGAGGTTTTTAAGAAGAGACTGGACAGTCACTTGTCTGAGATGGTATAGGTTCTCCTGCTTGAGCAGGGGACTGGACTAGAAGACCTCCAAGGTCCCTTCCAGCTTCTATTCTGATTGATCGATTGATTGAATTGCTAGTTCAATGCTCTATATCCCCAAGGAATTTTTTGGCGGGTTTGGCCAAGAACACATGCTAGAGTTTCAGCACATCCTTATAAAATCAATAAAATAACAACGTTCACTCGTCTAGCTTAATGACAATGTCAAACACGCTGTATGTTTACCTTTTAGGCAGTTCTTTGCTACTTCAGCAGCTATTTATAGGAGCGATTGCAAAAAAGAATTATTGCGAAGAACCTCGAGGCAAGAGTCTTTTCCACTCTCCAAGAGTCTTTTCCACTCTCCGCTCTTTTGCCGTTCAGCTCGTGGGCTGCATTTTAAGAACCAGTGAAATGGCAACCTCATGAAAATCTGTAAGGATGGACAGGCAGAAAAAACGGGTCGCTGATCGTCAGCGACAGGAAGATCCAGAAAGTGGCAAAGTAGAAGACGACTCTGGAATCCAGCTGGATGTGTTAGCCAAAGCGCACGAATTCTTCCAGATCTGCGATACAGAAGGGAAGGGGTTTATCGCGCGCCATGACATGCAGGTAAATTGCAAAAAGGTGGATTTATAAGTATTCATTCGTTTTTCAAGGAACCATTTGTCTGTCCTGTTTGAGGTTACAGCTGGGAGCCGGCAAGAATGAGTAGCACTTTTATTCTCATCGCGTTGTTATTATTATTATTATTATTATGGATCATCGCACAGTCAGCCGGATGTTCAGACTGGATTTGGCATTTTGTCTACCTATTGAGTCCTTACCCAGGACCTGGGATAGGCAGATGTGGATGTTTGATGGTATTACAGATCTCGTTGCAGGATGGAAGCAGTTCCTAGCAAGGCCGCCTTTTGCAATTGACTAATAGCGAATTTGTCAATGCCAATGGTGTTCAAGTGGTGCTCCAGTTGTTTTGGGATTGCACCCAAGGCGCCTATGACTATTGGTACTACCCTTGCTTGCCTTTGCCACAGTCTTTCTATTTCTATTTGTAGGTCTTTGTATTTTGTTATCTTCTCCAGTTCTTTCTCGTCTGTTCTGCTGTCTCCAGGCACTGCCACGTCTTCTTCTTCTTCTTCTTCTTCTTCTTCTTCTTCTTCTTCTTCTTCTTCTTCTTCTTCTTCTTCTTCTTCTTCTTCTTCTTCTTCTTCTTCTTCTTTTCTTCTTCTTCTTCTTCTTCTTCTTCTTCTTCTTCTTCTTCTTCTTCTTCTTCTTCTTCTTCTTCTTCTTCTTCTTCTTCTTCCTCTTCTTCCTCTTCTTCTTCCTCTTCCCCTTCCCCTTCCCCTTCTCCTTCTCCTTCTCCTTCTCCTTCTTCTTCTTCTTCTTCTTCTTCTTCTTCTTCCTCTTCTCCTTCTCCTTCTCCTTCTTCTCCTCCTCCTCCTCCTCCTTCTCTTTCTCCTCCTCCTCCTCCTCCTTCTCTTCCTCTTCCTCCTCTTCCTCCTCCTCCCCCCCTCCTCCTCCTCCAACCCTGGAAGTTTTTAAGAAGAGACTGGATAGCCATTTGTCTGAAATTGTATAGGGTTTCCTGTCTGAGCAGGGGGCTGGACTAGATGACCTCCAAGGTCCCTTCAAACTTTATTATTTATTACTACTACTACTACTATTTTCAATCATGTCCAGTTCTTGGAGATTGCCTGGACATGTCCCTGCAGTTTACTTGGCAAGATTTTCCAAAAGAGTTTTGCCATTGCCTCCTTCCTAGGGTTGAGAGAAAGTGACCGGCCCAAGGTCAGGCAGCTGGCTTTGTGCCTAAGGTGGGACCAGAACTCCTGGACTCCCAGTTCCTAGCCCGATGCCTTCACCACTACACTAAACTGGCTCTACCGCTTTATTACTCAGCTGTAAGTTTGTTCAACGCAAATAGTTTAAAGAGAGATAACACACAGGATGAAGGATGTAAATCTGGAGGAAACTCCCCTGTGAAAATTGGCTTATGTATTGTAGCAGAGAATCGCAGTGAGTTGGTCTATAGTGAGGGATGAGTGGGGAATTTTAGAGTCATGAGACCTACATTAAAGGTCCTGGGACAATGTTGGTCATGGGAATTAATCCAAGGTTAGAAGCCAGTGATCTGTCCATAAGGGAAGGCATCAGAAGATCTAGGAATATGGAAGGAATATTTGATACTTGCAACCCCACCGCATTAAAAGAAAAGCAATCTTCCGTTCACCTAAACAGAACAGAACAAAATAGAATATCTTTGCGGTCATTGTGCCACTCAGAACAAAACTAAAGGCTGCTCACAGTGCACACCACACACAAGTAAAAACAAATCGCAAATAAGAACATACATTGTATACACACATCCTTCACATTCCATTCAACATTGCGCTATCCCTAATATTGCACTTCAGCGTTGCGCTATACTGTGGTTATTTAACATGGTTCCATCTCTGGGACCAAAGCTATTTTTCAGCCTATTTGTCTTTGTTTTCATTATCCTGGACCGTCTGCCCAGATGGTAATAGTTAAATGATTTGTCTTTTTCCGTTTTCGAGATCTTTTTTAAAATTAACCTTTTAATTTACACGCAACGTCAGCGTAACTGAGGCAAACATTGTCGTTTTAGAGGCTCCACGGGGAGTCACCTCTTGACCCAGAAGAGCTGGAGAAAGTATTTGACACTCTGGATGCAGATGGAAACGGCTCCCTTACGCTGGAAGAATTCACCACCGGATTCAGTGAGTCCTCAGCCCACCTAGCGCTTTAGAAGTAATTCAGCAACTGTCAATTCCTCTCCCGGCGGTCCTTTTATGTATTCATTTATATTGTTTGATTTCTCATCTCTTAATAGCATCACATAATAGTACTACTACTACTACTACTATTACTACTACTAGTAGTAATAATAATAATAGTAGTAGTAGTAGTAATAAAGTTGGAAGGGACCTTGGAGGTCATCTAGTCCAACCCCCTGCTCAGGCAGGAAACCCTACACCATTTCAGACAAATGTCTGTCCGGTCTCTTCTTAAAAACTTCCAGTGTTGGAGCATTCACCGCTTCTGGAGGCAGGTAGTTCCGCTGGTTAATTGTTCTCACTGTCAGGAAATTTCTCCTTAGTTCTAGGTTGCTTCTCTCCTTGATCAGTTTCCATCCGTTGCTTCTTGTCCTGCCCTCACGGGCTTTGGAGAATAGCTTGACTCCCTCTTCTTTGGGGCATCCCCTGAGATACTGGAAAACTGCTATCCTGTCCCCCCTCGTCCTTCTCTTCATTAAGCTAGACATACCCAATTCCAGCAACTGTTTCTTGTGTGTTTTAGCCTCCAGTCTCTTAATCATCTTTGTTGCTCTTCTCTGCCCTCTTTCTAGTGTCTCAGCATCTCTTTTACATGGTGGTGACCAAAACTGGATGCCGTATTCCACGTGTGGCCTTGCCAAGGCCTTGTAAAGTGGTATTGATCTAGAGAAAAGCCAATGGGATCCTTTAATTGGGGCATTCCTTTCTTTGGGTTGCTCCACTGATTAATTGTTCTCACTGCCAGGAAATTTCTCCTTTACTTGTAGGCTGCTTCTCTCTTTAACAAGTGTCCACCCCTTGCTTCTTGTCCTGCCCTCTGGTGCTTTGGAGAATAGATTGACACCCCCCCCCCTTCTCTGTGACAGCTGCTCAAGTACAGGAAGACAGGCATCGTGTTCCCCCCCCCCCACCATCCTTCTCTTCGGTAGGCTAGTTCCGTCATAACGATTTTCTCTATTTACTTTCTGCTTTTTAACATTCTGGGCGGATTCAGTTCCTTCCTATATCCTGGATGACTAATCCCACAGCCTGGTTTGGCAAGGCTTAGATTTCTTCCTTCCTTTTCCCAGAGCCAGTTGCTTTTCTCGAAAGAAATCCCAAAGGACAGAAGTATTCAGCAAATATGCTACTCAACCTGAAGGCGAGATGCTCGCCCTAGTAGATGCTTAGTCTGCAGCTCAATTATGGATGTCTTGGGTGATTTAATGGAGACTGAAATGGCGATTGGTGCTTTGGTGAATAGAGCTTCTGTTGCTAGTGGTGCTCAGTAAAAAATGTTCACAGCATGAGATGCTGCAAGGCCATTTCCTGGACCCTGTTCTCTATTTGTCGTCCTAGGCACAGCAGTGGCCAAAATTGTGGAAACCTTTTGGGAAATGCGTACTGTAGAAACGCCACCTTTGCTTAAGTTTCCACCTGTTTTTCTTCTAATTTCTTTATAACTGTAGCCTTGTTCACTTAATAAGACTATTTTACATCGCTTTCTGGGCAACCAGTCAACTCTTTGCACCATGACTTTAATTTTATTACGTTTCACAAGCTCACTCAATGAAAGAACACCAAAAAATATAATAATAATAATAAAGTTGGAAGGGACCTTGGAGGTCATCTAGTCCAAAACCCAACCAACTTGATAGCGATCACACAACACACTGACCAATGTCCTCCTCTCAGCTTCAATACGTGACATCAAGAATTGAATCCTACCATGATCGGATTGGCTCATGGCCAAAACAAGATGACACCCGATTGGCTCTCTAAACACTCGCGCTCATTGGCTACAATCAGCTGAAGGAAAGCTACCTGATGTCAACCTAAGCTAGTTGTGCTTCCTTTTTCTGGTTATTATTTGGCTATACCTTTTCATAGAAAATACAGTGCAGATAATTGAACAAACTATGTTGCATTACATTCTTGATTAAATTGTCTTTCCATTGATATATAATTTATGGTACTACTCCAAAAAAAAAAAGTAGTGTTATTAGCCATCCAGCCTCAAAAATACACTTTTCCCAAAAGGTTTCCACAATTTTGGTTGTTCCTGTATATTGAAACCTAAGTCCTTCTGCTCTTTTGGAAAGAATCAATATATATGTAGTTCTTGATTTAACGACCACCATGGAGCCCAAATTTCCATTGCTAAATGAGATAGTCGTTAAATCAGCTTTGCCCCATTTTACAGATACTCCTCAACTTACTTCCACAACTGAGCCCCCAAAATTGATGTTAAGTGAGAAATTTTTTAAGCGAGTCGTGTCCCCTTTTACGACTTTTCTTGCCACATTTGTTAAGCAAATCGCTCAAGTTGTTAAACTAGTAACCTGGTCGTTAAGTGAGTCCAGCTTCCCCCGTTGACTTTGCTTGTCAAGAGGTCGCAAAAAGGGGATCACGTGACCCCGGGGGGGGGGGAACGCTGCGATCGTCATAAATACGAGTCAGTTGCCAAGAGGCTGAATTTTGACCACGTGACCCTGAGGGGGACCGCTGCCACGGTCATAAATGTGAAAAACGGTTGTAAGTCACTTTCAGGGCCGTTGTAACTTTGAACAGTGATTAAACGAGCCGTTGAAAGTCGAAGATTATCTGGAAACGGTTTAATGGATGTCGCAGGATTTTTGATGCTCTTCCTGTTGTAATCTTTGTCCGAAAAACGCTTTTTTTTCTTCCAGACTGCAGAAGCTAATTTAATAGGATTTATTTCTCATGCTATTACAACTAGTTTTTTTTTTTTTTCATTTATTGCAAACACCTGGAGGGCCAACCTGTTTTATAAAATCAATTTTTTTTTAAAAAAAAACCCCCAAAAACCCTGCAGGCCAGTTTTTGTCTAGGAGGAAAGAATCTTTGTCCGAGGGCCGTGGAACTGGAAGCAGCTTCCATCCTAAAGTGAAGGGGAGCATCGCAGAAGGAAATGAGGAAGAAGACCAGTTTTCCAATCTTATGGAACGGCTTGGAGCCGAGACTATCTTGAAGGAGTAAGTCTTGCCACCGAAACAGCAGAGGGGCAGCAGAAACAGAGAGACACCATTCTCCTGATTTGCGCTACGTTGGCCTGAGAAAAAGGGTCAGTCTTTTTTTCTTTCTTTTTTTGTCTTTTCTCCAGTGAAAATGATGTAAAAAAACTCTGGCTTCATCTGAGGAAACGTGAGCCTCACCTACTTTCCAATTTTGAAGAGTTCTTGTCCAAAATCTTCTCTCAGCTCCAGGAAGCCAATGATCAAAAGAACACTTTGGAGTGCATCTTGGAAAAGTAAGTGCTTCTTTTAACGATGGGTTCGGGGGGGGGGGAGAATTTACCTGTTGGAGCATTCACCGCTTCTGGAGGCAGGTTGTTCCACTGGTTAATTGTCCTCACTGTCAGGAAGTTTCTCCTTAATTCCCAGTTGCTTCTCTCGTTGATCAGTTTCCATCCGTAGTTTCTTGTCCTGCCTTCAGGCACCTTGGAAAATAGCTTGACTCCCTCTTCTTTGGGGCAGCCCCTGAGATATTGGAAGACTGCTATCCTGTCCCCCCTTGTCTTTCTCTTCGTTAAACTAGACATCCCCAATTCCAGCCACCGTTCCTTATATGTTTTAGCCTCCAGTCCCCTAATCATCGTTGTTGCTCTTCTCTGCACTCTTTCTAGAGTCTCAACATCTTTTTTACATCGTGGTGACCAAAACTGGATGCCCTATTCCAAGTGTGGCCTTACCAAGGCCTTGTAAAGTGGTATTAATATTTCACCTGATCTTGATTCTATCCCTCTGTTAATGCAGCCGAGCACTGGGTTGGCTTTTTTGGCAGCTGCAGCACATGGCTGGCTCCTATTTAAATGCTTCTTGCTGGTGTTCCCACCCAGACATAATTTCTTGTGCTTTTAAAACTTCCATCTCAGCAAAATGTCCGCCTACGATGACAAAATCCAGCGACTGTACGAAGAAATGGAGCAGGAGATCAAAACTGAGAAGGAAAAGGTCGTGTTGGAGGCAAGTATAGGTTTAATACGGGCGTCAAAAGGCGCAGATGGATGTAGAACATGACTATAGTAGTGGCCAAAATGGTGGAAATCTTTTGAGGAAAGTCGTCAGTAGAAATGCCATATTTAGTTCAGTTTCTTTGCGTGTACGTGTCCGTGTCTGTGTGTGCATATGTGTGTTTGATATGTATGATTTTTTCCCCCTATGGATGCATTGCAAAGCAACGACAATCTACCACCAGTTTATTCTCATAATTGGTTATTTCTCCAGCCTAGACAGTGCTTTTCACTAAAATCCACTGTTCTTTTTATTATTGTCCAATTTTGCAGGGCGCTGAGAAGTTCCAGTCCCGACACCAGGAACTGGAGCGCAAACTTGTTGAAAAGGAGAAGGAATTGGAGCAACTGTCTCAGAAGCAGAAAACAGTATGTGAAAATAATAATAATAATAATAATAATAATAATAATAATAATAATAATAATAACAACAACAACAGCAACACCATTGGCATTGACAAATTCGCCATCAGTCAATTGCAAAAGGCGGCCTTACTAGGAACCGCTTCCATCCTGCGACGAGATCTGTAATACCATCAAATATCCACATCCCAGGTCCTTGGGAAGGACTTGATAGGTAGACAAAAATGCCAAATCCAGTCTGAACATCTGGCTGACTGTGCAATGATCCATAACAGAGTTGGAAGGGACCTTGGAGGTCATCTAGTCCAACCCCCTGCTCAGGCAGTAAACCCTATACCGTTTCAGACAAATAGCTGCCCAGTCTCTTCTTTAAAACTTCCAGTGTTGGAGCATCCACAACCTCTGGAGGCAGGTTGTTCCACTGGTTAATTGTCCTCACTGTCAGGAAGTTTCTCCTTAGTTCCAGGTTGCTTCTCTCCTTGATGAGTTTCCCTCCGTTGCTTCTTGTCCTTCCTTCAGGTGCTTTGGAGAATAGCTTGACTCCCTTTTCTTTGGGGCAGCCCCTGAGAGATTGGAATGCTGCTATCCTGTCCCCCCTGGTCCTTCTCATCATTAAACTAGACCTACCCAATTCCAGCAGCCGTTCCTTGTATGTTTTAGCCTCCAGTACCCTGATCATCTTTGTTGTTCTTCTCTGTACTCTTTCTAGAGTCTCAACATCTTTTTTACACCGTGGTGACCAAAACTGGCTGCAGCATTCCAAGTGTGGCCTTACCAATACCTTGTAAAGTGGTACTAACACTTCAAAAATTATGGAGTTATAACAGCAGACATTTTTTATCTAAGCTTAGCCATACGGTGGCAGTGTGCTGCATCCTTTTAGCTGTGCTGCTAAGAAAACCACTCAACCATTGAAGTCCTAACTTGGTCCTGCTTGCATAGATATTTCTCGACTTACCCCAGTTCATTTAGTCACTGTTCAAAGTTACAACGGTGCTGAAAAAAGTAACTTATGACCCCTCTTCATACTGACACCCGTTGCAGCATCCCCATGATCACGTGATCACATTTCAGCCTTCTGACAACTGACACGTATTTATGAGGATAGCTGTATCCTGGGGTCCCCTTTTTGTGACCTTCTGTGGTCGTAATACAACACACAGCTGTATTTTGTGATGGTTTGCTTGCTTTCTGAAATACCCTCATGGATGGAGGTCTAAAAAACACAGGATTTTATTTCTTCTGCTTCATCTGATAGGAAAGAAATAGGGATCTTAAAAGCCACCACACTACATGGCCGATAGAACTTCTGGAACAAATCCTTTTGGACAAAGATCAACTCCTGTGTTAAAACTTCAGACTGCGCCGCCCTCTGCTTATTTTTCAAGCCCAATATAGGGAATTTAACTTCTTTAGCTGTGCTGGCTAGTTGATTTGTATCACATAAATATCAGCCTAACCTCTGTGGAAGTGACTCCACTGAGCTCTTCCTGAGACGCTGATTGGAAGCTGTAAATAATCCCAAATGTTTCTTGTGTCCTGGTTCCGACAGATGAAACTCTTCAAAGAACTTTGAGGCCTTGTTTACCTTAAAGAATCTTTATTTGAGTACCATGGCATCGGCACTAACACATTCGAAGCCAAAAACTGGATTCCCCTTTCCTGAGCACATAGTATCAAAGCACAATTCCCACCTCTAATTTGTACATTCTTCAATTAGTTTGAAATGCAGACTTTTCCTCCAGTTCTCCAGCCCGCCAATTCTTTTTTTTTTAAATAAAGTTTTATTGAGTTTTATGAGGTTGGGGGAGAGATGGGGCCAGTATGGGAATTGAGGTTTGGGGTGGGGATCAGGATTGGGACAGGGATGGAAACGACAATGGGGTTGCCCCCCCCATTTACATTTTCAAGCTTTAGCAAACAGACTATTGTCCGGGTACATATGTTCAATAACACTAATTAATATAATAGTGAATATGGGAAACAATAGTCATAAACAGTAACAGTAAGTCAATACATATCATTCATCTTACTAGTATATATTCACGATAACATCTCACATTCATTTCTCACTAGTTTGTTTTCCTAACCATTGGTAAAAATTATCCCATGTTTTGAAATAAACCGAGTCTTCTTTCTCTTTAATCTCTAAAGTTAATCTATCCCTGAGCACATAGTATCAAAGCACAATTCCCTCCTCCAATTAACAATCATAAATCACATTCTCCAATTAGTTTGAATTGCAGGCTTTCCCTCCAGTTCTCCAGCCCGCCATTTCTTATCATCTCTTATTTCAATAACCTTGGTTCTCACACTAGGTCCAGTATTGTTATGTCTAGCTAAACTCTCATGCACATTCCTCCCCCCAGCGTCATCTAACTCTAACTTTAAGAGTAAAACGTAAGAAAAAAATGGTTGCATCTCTAACTGTTGTCAAAGCAAAAGCATCCGATGTTAGCAGTGTTGACATCTTATCAGTGTTTGAAGGCTCAAGTGTAGGTAAACTGTAGGTAAACTGAGAAATTCTCATGGCCTCAAAAATAACACATTGATTGGCGACTGGTTGCCCTCCATGTTCTTGTAGGATTTACCAGCCATTCCTGCTACTTCCCCTGTAACCTGTTGGGGACTATATTAGTTTTATTTGTGCTCTGTCAAAAAACACACCAATTTCAGCCCTTTAGCTGCCTTGTTACGTTGTTGTCATGGCAATTTTAGTTTGAGCCTAGATAATAATAAGATAATTTTAATTTTGCAAAGAAGAAAGAAAAAAAGCATTTTCTTTGATTTGGAAGGATTAATTATTTATTTGGTGCAAGCGGTCTGTTAATTGAACATAAGCCGATTGCAACAGCCAGCATATATACTGCACGGACATATAAAACTTTTCAAGCATAGATAAAATACAGACAGTCCTCCATTTATAACCACAGCTGAGCCCGCAATTTATGTTGCTGAGAGGGAAATGTATTAAGTGAGTTTTGCTCCATTTTACGACTTTCCTTGCCATTTTTTTTTTTTTTAGATTGATTTGACTTTGGGGCCTCTACAGGTCTTTGCTAAATTTTTATATGTAGATTTTTTTTCTTAAAAACGTACGCGTTTGCATTACGATTATCCTTGTGTTTTTCTTTTTTATTCCCCTTTTATTGTTTTAAAAACAATAAGGATAAATTTTAAAAGCTCCCCTTTGGAGGCATTTTATGGACTTGTGATGATGAATAAAAAATCCATTCCACTGTTTTTTTTTAAATTATGACTCTTCTTTTTATACAGTTGGACAAACAATGCAAAGAGCTACGTAATGTTAGGTATGACACTACCACCGAAAATACCAAATTGAGGGTTACTAACCAAGAGCTTCTGAATTCGCTGGAGAGAACCTCAGAGGAGTTAATTATTGCCCAACAGCAGCTGCAAATACTTCAGGATGAAGCTAAAAAGCTGCAGGAAGAAAAGGAAATGTGAGTAACTCTAGAAAAGAGGAATTAATATAAGGAGATTGATTTTATAAAAGGATAAATATTTTATTACACAAATTGAAAACACAAATAAAATAATAATAATAACAACAACAACAACACTATTGCATATACTCCCAATGGTTATTGGCACACTGGATGCTATGCCAAAGAATTTGGATGGCACTAAAAAAAATCTGTGCAGTGACAGAATTTTCATTAGACAATTGTAAAAAACCCCACACTGCTTGGATCTACATATATACTACTCCAATAGATTACACACAGTGGTTCTCAACCTGTGTGGTCCACAGATCCCTGGAGGCCTGCAATGTTGTCACTGGGGATCCATTAAAGCAGACTAAATGTTTTAAATCTTGAGTTGTCTGGGTGGTCTGTGGCCTTGGTTTGTGGCCACACAAGGTATTTAAAGGGGGATGCCAACGCTGCTAACATTGGATGTTTTTGCTTTGACAACAGTTGGAGATGCAACCATTTTCTTCTTATGTTTCACTTTTAGAATTAGATGATGTGGAATGTGCATGAGAGTTTAGCTAGATATAACAATACTGAACCTAGTGTGAGAACCAAGGTTATTGAAATAAGAGATGATAAGGATTGGTGGCTGGAGAACTGGAGGGGAAGCCTGCATTTCAAACTAATTGGAGGATGTAATTTATGACTGTTAATTGGAGGAGGGAATTGTGCTTTGATACTACGTGCTCAGGGGCGGGGAATTCAGATTTTGGCTTCGATTGTGTTAGTGCCGATGCTATCTACTCAAATAAAGATTCTTTTTTTTTTTTTTTTATTAAAAGTTTTATAAATTTTACAAAAAAAACAAGAACAATACAGAACAACAAACAACATATACAAAAGAAAAAAAAATTAAACAATACATATAAAAAAAAAAACCCCCACCCCACACCCCTCCCAAAAACCCTCCCTTCCCCCCCCCTGAGCTTCCCAGAGCAGAATATAGGCTTAAGAAATAATAATAAAAAAAATAAAAAATAAAAATTAAATTAAAAACTTTATATTTATATATATATAAAAAATATCTATAATATATATAAAAATAAAACTTATGAAAAAGCTATATAATATTTTTGTATACCCAATCTAAATTGTATAAATTTTATCCATTTGTCCCAGATAGCAAAAAACTTCTCTTGCGTTTGTTGCTTTAAGAAAGCCGAAATCTTTGCCATTTCCGCCAGATAAGCTACTTTAAAAAACCATTCCTGCAATGTAGGCAAAGATTCCTTCTTCCAATATTGTCCAACTAACAGCCTCGCGGCTGTGATCAAGTTTAACATCAATACAACCTCCTTTGTATCACAATCTGTAACAATACCTAATAAAAATAATTGCGGAGTGAATTTTACCCTCCTTCTAAAAATTCTCTGGATATTCCACCATATTTTGATCCAAAATGCTTTTATCTCTCTGCATGACCACCAAATATGATAATAGGAAGCCTCCTTGTAACCACATCTCCAGCATTTAGGTTGCACGTCAGGGTACATGTAAGACATTTTTTGTGGATCAAGGTGCCATCTATAAAACATTTTATAAAAATTCTCCCTTAAATTCTGTGCTTGAGTAAATTTGACATTTCTCACCCAAATAGTTTCCCAGGTGTCCAATGAAACTGGCTCACCAAAGTTCTGCGCCCATCTAATCATACAATCTTTAATTAGTTCCGTTTCTGAGTCCAATTCAACTAAAACCCCATAAATTCTCTTAATGTGGGTTTGTCTTTGATCCTTCAGTTGCTTAATAAGATTTTCATCTTCTCTAAGAAAACCCACCTTACAATCCATCTTCCATCTATCTAGTAGTTGCCTATATTGGAACCAAGAATAAGTAAAATTTTCTTGTGCTAATTCTTCCCGTGATTTTAATTGCCAGTTTTGTCCATCCCATTTAAGTAACTGTCTATAAGACACCATATCCATTTTAACCCCTCTTTTTATTCCTTCTATCGCATGCCAAGGTATAGCCCATAATGGTACTTTAAAATCACTTTTATAATATTTTCTCCAAATCCTAAGTAAAGAAATTCTTAAAATATGAGATTTAAAAGCCCAATCTATTTTTTTATTAAATATTAAATAGGCATGCCACCCATAAAGTAAATCCCATCCCTCTAGATAAAGTATCTCAGAATTTGTCAAATTTACCCAGTCACTAATTAATGTTAAAACCACCGCATCATAATATAATTTCAAATTTGGTACCTTGAGTCCACCCCTCTCACGGAAGTCTTGCATAATTTTGAACTTAACCCTTGGTTTTTTCCCTGCCCAAATAAATTTATTGAGACCCTTCTGCCACTCATTTAAATTAATCTCATTTTTCAAAATTGGTAACATTTGAAACAAAAAAAGAAACTTGGGTAGAATATTCATTTTTATCACTGCAATTCTTCCCATGAGGGATAATTGCAGCTTTTCCCAGTTCTTCAAGTCTTTCTGTACCCCGACCCACAACCTTTCATAATTATTTTTAAATAATTTTGCATTAGAAACAGACAGCATCACCCCCAAAAATAAAGATTCTTTAAGATAAACAATGCCTCGAAGTTCTTTGAAGAGTTTCATCTTCAAAGAACAGGGTCCTTTTATCATTTATGCTTTGTCACAAGGAATATTGCAGTAGGATTCCCATCTTAACACCGAAGATTCTCAAAAGGAATATAAATTCTATATAAATAGAATCTTTCCTTTTGGGTTTAATGGGAAAAAACTTGGGGAAAAAATCATATGTATGTTGATGGCAGCAGGATTACTTAATGGGTCAGATAAATTGATTCCCACAATGGATGAATGGCTGCAAAAGCCCGTTTCCATTTCAATTCTTTTACTCTGTTGATGGCATTGTATGTTTTCATTTGTTCTCCAACCCATGTGCAGGTTTTTCTATCTTGTCTTGCGATGCCGAGCATGCATCTTTGCGCTGTTCGTAGCTTTTGCATCGATTGTGATGCTGGTGTCCATCTTTCACCGGCATATGTTAGAATAGGTAGCACACACACTGATCAAAATAGCACTTTTTTCCCGTGGCTTTCAAGAGCGTTGTCTTTTTGTGTGCCAGGCATACTTCTCATTTGTTTTCAGTTTCATGGAATTTTAGTAAAACTTGAAAAGACTATTTTTTATTATCAGAGAAGAGATTCAAACTACACTTATTACGAGCAGCATTAATTTTACTATATCGCAGCTGATTCTTTCATTAGGTTATGATTTGCATCATCTGAGAGAGAATAACAATAAGCTGGACAGTCCGTGGACAAACATTCAGCAAAGACATGGAATAAAATGGCTGGTTTTGCTTAGTTAAAACTGAGTGTCTCCAGAGCTTCATTTAACTAATGCTGCATCTGTAAAATTGTGGATTTTCCCCCATCCCATAAAAATGAAAGTTTAACAGTCTTCCCACACTGGATCGCTGCTTTACTTTTATTGGGTCTCCAGAGCATTTTTCTCTCCAGATTTAGATTAAAAGTAGCCATTAACAATAAATAAACTGGAGTAATTAAGGAATTTGCTCTGTCTCTGTAGTTATTAGTGCAATCCTTACAAGAGGGAGTAAATCACAGCTCTATTAGTATTTTGTCTAAGCAGCTTGAACTGGGTTTTGCGTAACCGTTCTTTTTCGTCTCTTCTCCAGTGAGGTTTGCCGAGTGACCGAAATATTAGAGAAGGAGAAATTAGGACTTCGTAAACAGTTGGATTTTTTGAGGTAAGACGATTTCCAAAACAAGCTGTGTGTGTTTGTGTGTCTTGTTTGTGTGGAGGTCATCTTCCTTTTTCGATGAATGTGTCCTTTATTGCGGCCGTTGGATAAGGAAGACAAGGCCGTTTGTTTAAATAAAAACAGGTCAGGGATTGAATCCGTGTACATATTTTCCCAGTAAAATTGGAGCATTTATTATAAAATCTAGGTCTGGTCGTTCCAGATGGGCCAGCGAGACGGGAGGCCACTGGTGCTTCCATTAAATGACAGAAATGAAGTAGCGGCCACGCCCTCTGCCCGCGCCCCGCAGCACCAACTGTGCGGGACAGGGCGTGAGGGCAGAGTCTTGTCTCCGCAGCCTGGCTGCCATGTCCCTGGCTGTGCTGCTCCGCGTGGGCCACGCTCGGGGGCGACTCTCCTCCAGGGGGGCTGCTGGAGAGGAGGGTGTCGTGGGGGGAGGCGAGGCTGGGGCAACGGCACGTGTGCCCACAGAGAGGGCTCCGAGTGCCGCCTCTGGCACCCGTGCCATAGATTCGCCCCCCACTGGATTAGACCATTTCGCCAGGATAAATACCCTGCCACCCCCCCCCCACCACTGGAAAAGTTTTCTGGTAAATGGGCCATCTTGAAATATACCCTTTAATTGTGGTGTTTTCCTTCCTTCCTTCCTTCCTTCCTTCCTTCCTTCCTTCCTTCCTTCCTTCCTTCCTTCCTTCCTTCTTTCCTTCCTTCCTCCCTCCCTCCCTTCCTCCCTCGCTTCCTTCTGTCCTTCCTTCTTTTCTTCCTTCCTCCCTTCTCCTCCCCATTTCTCCTCCCTTCCTCTTTTTCTTCCTTTCCTTCTTTCCTTCCTCCTTTCCTCCCTCTCTCCCTCCATCCCTCCCTCCCTCATTCCCTTTCTTCCTGTCATTCTCATTGTTTTCCTTCTTCCCTCCCTCCCTTTCTTCCTAACTGTCATTCCCATCTTCCTTCCTTCCTTCCTTCCTTCCTTCCTTCCTTCCTTCCTTCCTTCCTTCCTTCCTTCCTTCCTTCCTTCCTTCCTTCCTTCCTTCCAGGGAAAGGAACAAACATCTGAGTGACCAACGCGACGTGTGCCTTCAGCAGGTACGTTCGTAGCTTTTGGGATAAAAAGGATTATTTTACACGAAGACCTTAGACAAAAACCGCCACCGTGGCTTCCCATTTAAACCTTGACATTCCATCCCATTTAGACCAGGCTCTGGGGAGCTGCTAGGTGGCAGAATTTGGGGGTCTTAATCTGAGCAGGAAATACAGTCCTTATTATGAGCGATGCTTGTGGGGTTAAGCTCCAGTTCTTGCGTGATAAGGGAACTGAAGGCTAGTTAACTTTTTTTGTGGATGGTGAGATTATTAAGATTATAACTCAGGTAGTCCTGGATTTACGACTTCAACTGACGTAGCAACTGCCGTGATCCACTTAACAAACCGTAGGCAAAGAAAGTCGTAAAATGGGGCAAAACTCACTGAACAAGTGTCTCACTTTGCAACAGAAATTTTGGGCGTAAATCGAAGACAACCTGGTAGAAATGAGCCTATCTGCATAGTTTGGCTTGGCTTCTCCTGTTTTATTAAGTATATCCTGACGTTTTAAAACAATATTTCTACAGAAATCCGGGTACGAGGCACCTGTCAGTCGGACGCAAAGGTCAGGCTCCATTATCGGCAAATATTTGGAAAGAGGTTCATTGAGGAGGTAAGCCTTCCAGTGTGTCTTGGGCACCTTATTATTATTTTTTTTAAACAAGTTTTATTGGTTTTTTCATTTTACAGACAAGTGCTTACGAAACAACGTGGTGGCAGGACAATCAATTATCCACACAACAAAATCATACTCATAAAATTCAGATTAAATCATTAAAAAAAAAAGAAAACAAAAACAAAAACAAAAAAACCCCTCTCTTTTCCCTCTAATAACATATTATATTCAAATTGATATATTTCAATACAACTAGATCAATCCTATCAATCCTCAATAACCTTTCATCTAAATAGTTCCACAAACCCAGATCCTGTATGAAGTTTACTTATTTCAATCACTATATTCCATATTTCTAATCTAAGTACATAGTTAACACTTCGGGAATCTCCCCATTACCTTTTTCCTTAACATATTCAATAAACATTTATTAATATCATTTCTTATTTTTCCCTATTCTTCTTCCATTACAAAGTAACTATCAATTCTAATGTATATATAAAAAAGTATATTAATTCATATCAGAAAAGAAAAAGAACAAAGAAAAAAAAAACGAACAAAACAGAAAAAAGTAAAAAAAAAACCTTTCTATTTCTATTATACTTTATAATCTAACAATCAATCCCTCAATATCACATTTCTTTAACCTCCTCAAAGTTACTATATCCTAAACATATTAATACGTAGACAAACATTATTAAGTTCAGACCTTTAATTAATTTTTATTCAATCTAACATCTTATTTAACTGTCATAAGCCATAAATCAATCCATATCCTAAACGTATTAATACGTAGACAAACATCTTATTATTAAGTTCAGAGCTTTAATTAATTTTTATTCAATCTAACATCTTACTTAACTGTCATAAGCCATAAATCAATCCATATCTAGTAAGCCTTTTAAAATCAGTACATAAAACCTTCAGTCACATTCTTAAATCTTATTCTAGCTTTCCTTTTATGCCAAACAGGTTTCCATAACAACGCCACTATATCAATAAGCAAGTCATTTTTTATGTCTTGTAGTTGGGCACCTTATTTTTGTTTTTCAGATAACTTAACAGAATTATAAGTGACTTGAGTTGTATGTTTTTTTTCCTCATAACTTTCCAGCGAGCCTTCGGAAGACGAGACCTTTAGCGCGTCCCAAAGAAGAGGTTCCCTCGTTGGGAATGTAGATCTTTCATTGGATTCCGAGCCCCATAAACCTGGGGGGCAGATCCAGAGGAACCCGTTCAGAAGGTTAATATCCATTGAGGAAGACCATCTGCCGCACCTTCTGAATAGGACCGAGAGGCAACTGATTGGATGGTCTGAAGAAGATGGAGGTGAACCAGGACCGGGTGTGAATGGAAGTCAACGGCAGCCACTGGCTGAACCGTCTCATACCTCATCCAGGGAAGAGCCTGTCGGAAAAGAAACGCTGACACACGTAAGGAGAAAAACTGTACAATGTAGATTTTATGGAAGAGAGTATTGAGCTGGGTGGGGTCCTTGGTGCTGTCAGAGCTGGGCTGCTGCCTTGAGATTTTAGATTTTATTTTGGATCAAGGAGCACTTTGGCCCAATGAACAGAATAATGGAATAACAGAATTGGAAGGGACCTTGGAGGTCTTCTAGTCCAACCCCCTGCTCAGGCAGGGGAACCTGCCTAGACCATTTCGGACAGATGGCTGCAGTCTCTTCTTAAAAACTTCCAGTGTTGGAGCATTCACCGCTTCTGGAGGCAGGTGGTTCCACTGGTTAATTGTTCTCACTGTCGGGAAGTTTCTCCTTAGTTCTAAGTTGCTTCTCTCTTTGGTTAGTTTCCACCTTGCTTCTTGTCCTGCCTTCAGGGGCTTTGGAGAAGAGCTTGACTCCCTCTTCTTTGGGACAGCCCCTGAGATACTGGACCACTGTTATCCTGTCACCCCTCATCCTTCTCTTCATTAAACTAGACCTACTCAATTCCTGCAACCGTTCTTCCTATGTTTTATCCTCCAGTCCCCTGATCATCTTTGTTGCTCTTCTCTGTACTCTTTCCAAAGTCTCAACATCCATCAGTTGCTTCTTGTCCTGCCTTCAGGCGCTTTGGAGAATAGCTTGACTCCCTCTTCTTTGGGGCAACCCCTGAGATACTGGAGCACTGCTATCATGTCCCCCCTGGTCCTTCTCTTCATTAAACTAGACCTACCCAATTCCAGCAACCGTTCTTCTTATGTTTTAGCCTCCAGTCCCCTGATCATCTTTGTTGCTTCTCTCTGTACACTTTCCAGAGTCCCAACATCTTTTTTTAATAATACGGCGATCAAAACTGGATGCAGTATTCCAATTGTTAATCTTACCAAGGCGTTATTAATTTCTAAATTAACTTCTAAAAATTCACAATCAGATTACCCCTATCTGGTGTATAAAGTTAGTATATTAGTCCTTTCCTTATTAGTTCAGAATGAAATAGTGATAAATAGTTTGGTCTCTCTTATAAAAAGTTCAAGCAAGTTGTGGATAGCTTCCCAACAATCACCTTTATAACTTTTTTTTTCCTGACATCACTAGAAATATGTAAAGAAATGTGCATTTGCCTTATTCGGTCGGGGGTTACATTACTATTATAAAGATGTAAAATGAGAAATGTGGAAGCCTAAATCCCTTTCTTCTATTCAAAGAGCAAGAAACGTAAAAATCAGGAATAGACATGATCAAGAGAACAGCAATGAGACTTCCCGCTGTAAGCAAAAGTTAAAATTATATTGCATCGTTTCAACTTTTGATGCTTTACGTTACTTTACATCCCATATTTGAATCTCTTAAAATTGTTATTATGTTTCATCGCACAGTCAAGCAGATGTTCAGGCTGGATTTGCCATTTTTATCCCCCTTACCGAGTCCTTCCGAAGGACCTGGGATAGGCAGAGGTGGACATTTCACGATCTTAAAGATATCATAGCAGGATTTCAGCTGTTCCAAGCAAAGCTGCCTTTTGCAATTGACCGACGGCGATTTTGTCAATGCCGGTGGTGTGTTCAAGTGGTGCTCCAGTTGTCTTGGGAATGGCTGCTGGAATTGGGTATGTCCAGTTTAATGAAGAGAAGGACGAGGGGGGACATGAAAGAAGCGTTCCAATATCTCAGGGGCTGCCCCAAAGAAGAGGGAGTCAAGCTATTCTCTAAAGCCCCTGAAGGCAGGAGAAGAAGCAACGGATGGAAACTAATCAAGGAGAGAAGCAACCTAGAACTAAGGAGAAACTTTCTGACAGTGAGAACAATTAACCAGTGGAACTACCTGCCTCCAGAAGTGGTGAATGCTCCAACACTGGAAGTTTTTAAGAATAGACTGGACGGCCATTGGTCCGAAATGGTATAGGGTTTCCTGCCTGAGCAGGGGGTTGGACTCAATGACCTCCAAGGTCCCTTCCAATTGTTGTTGTTGTTGTTATTATTATTATTATTATTATTATTATTATTATTATTATTATATCCTGTTATCTGATCATTTTCTTATTAACCCTATATAAAAGAATCGCATAGCCACTTCTAGTTTATATATTGCATTCCTTTTTTTTTTTTAATCCTGTGTCTAACAACGCAACCCCTAACAACCTCATATCTGTGCTTGTGTGAAGGTTGAAGCGTCGCGCACGGCTCCGGATCGTATTTTCAAGATAGTTCTGGTGGGGAATTCAGCTGTGGGGAAAACTTGCTTTTTAAAGCAATTCTGCGAAGAACGTTTTTCTCCAGGCACGGCTGCTACGGTCGGTAAGTAAAAGGGGGCAGATGTACGTACAATGCAGGTATCTGGAATTTGGTAACTGCCAAAGATAAATTTTATAATAATAATAATAAAGTTGGAAGGGACCTTGGAGGTCATGTAGTCCAACCCCCTGCTCAGGCAGGAAACCCTATACCATTTCAGACAAATGGCTGTCCAGTCTCTTGTTAAAAACTTCCAGTGTTGGAGCATTCACAGCTTCTGGAGGCAGGTTGTTCCACTGGTTAATTGTTCTAACTGTCAGGAAGTTTCTCCTTAGTTCTAGGTTGCTTCTCTCCTTGATCAGTTTCCATCCGTTGCTTTTTGTCCTGCCTTCAGGTGCTTTGGAGAATAGCTTGACTCCCTCTTCTTTGGGGCAGCCCCTGAGATATTGGAACACTGCTATCATGTCCCCCCTCATCCTTCTCTTCGTTAAACTAGACATACCCAATTCCAGCAACCGTTCCTTATATGTTTTAGCCTCCAGTCCCCTAATCATCTTTGTTGCTCTTCTCTGCACTCTTTCTAGAGTCTCAACATCTTTTTTACATCGTGGTGACCAAAACTGGATGCCGTATTCCAAGTGTGGCCTTACCAAGGCCTTGTAAAGTGGTATTAACACTTGACATGATCTTGATTCTATCCCTCGGTTAATGCAGCCTAGCACTGTGTTGGCCTTTTTTGGTAGCTGCAGCACATAAACTGAGTTATTTTAAGTTTGGGCTGGGGTGGGCTTTGATTCTGTGTGTCTGTGTGTGTGTCTGTGTGTGGTCTCATTTCCTTTTACCAAGGAGTGTTCTGAACGTAGATGCCTTTTCCTGTGAGTTTGATCGCGTGACACGGCTGAAAGAAGACGGAATTTTGTGACTTTGCCTTCCCGTGATACGCCTGGCTTTATACGCTCCGACGCTTGGTTGGTGTGACATCTTCACCGCCCAAGGAATTTGTAGAACCTTCTTCAATGCCACAGCTCAAATGAGCCTATTTCCCTCCCCCCCCCGTCTACTTTTTTTCACGGTCTAATTTTCAAAACCGTCGTCGCTATGGGGAACAGGATAGCGCAGACTAATCTGCATTCAGTTGCCAGGCTGATGTCCTTCTTTCACATACTCAATTCGTGCTAATTATTCCAGTGTAACCCCACAGAGTTTTGACGCTTAATTTTCTGGATGGCATTCATCGTTTTGATCAATCTGCAAATGCTAGGAAAATACATTCCGGTACGCATTTGATCTCATTACTGACAATTGTTATTTCCATTCCTCGGAGTGATTGTGCGCTTGGCCTTTTTGATGTTCAAGAAGCGGTTAAAATTCTCACTTTCTTCTTTAATCCTTTTGACCAGATGTATCAGGGTGGTTTCTGACATGCTGGTTTTTTTTTTGAGGGGAGAAAATGTGTCGTCAGCATACTGAAGAGTGTTGATGTTTTTTCCTTCAGTCTTTGCTCTGACGTTTCTTCAAGATCCGGTTTCCTCATGATCCCTTAGGACAGGAGTCTTCAAACGCGGCCCTGGCTGAGGAATTCTGGGAATTGAAGTCCACAAGTCATAAAAGGGCCAGGTTTGAAGACCCCTGCTTGTGGACTTCAACTCCCAGAATTCCTCAACCAGGCATGCTGGCTGAAGAATTCTGGGAGTTGAAGTCCACAAGTCATAAAAGGGCCAAGTTTGAAGACCCCAATGTGAAGCTTCTAGATCAGGGTTCCCCTGATGTGTGGACTTCAACTCCCAGAATTCTGGGAATCAAAGACTTCATATCATGAGTTCTTTGGTCAGATGGGACTTGAACTTGGGTTTCTCTAGACCGGGGTCTTCAAACTTGGCCTTTTATGACTTGTGGACTTCAACTCCAGCATGCCTGGTTGAGGAATTCTGGGAGTTGAAGTTCACAAGTCATAAAAGGGCCAACTTTGAAGACCCCTGATGTGAAGCTTCTAGATCAGGGTTCCCCTGATGTGTGGACTTCAACTCCCAGAATTCTGGGAATCAAAGACTTCATATCATGACTTCTTTGGTCAAATGGGACTTGAACTTGGGTTTCTCTAGACCAGTGGTTCTCAGCCTGTGGGTCGGGACCCCATTTGGGGTCGAATGATCATTTCACGGGGGTCGCCAAACAACGCAGTCCGCCATTTTTTCCCCCTTTTCCTTAGCTGTGCTACTCCCTTTTATTCTATTGGCTTTTGAAAGCCAATAGAATAGACTCTCTTGAATAGAGTCTAATTCTATTGGCTTTCCAAAGCCAATAGGAATTGTCCAGGCTGTTTCTGCCCTGCTGAGCCCGCCAAAAGTCCCATTCTGCAAACGGTGCTGCACCAGTTGAGTAGTCCTTAACTTACGACCGGTTAAAGGGTCATGGCATTATAAAGGTTGAGAACCACTGCTCTAGACCCAGGGTCTTCAAACCTGGCCTTTTATGACTTGTGGACCAACTCCAGCGTGCCTGACTGAGAAATTCTGGGAGTTGAAGTCCACAAGTCATGGCCAAGAGTCAAGTTTGAAGACCCCTGACTTAGGACGTACGGATTGAGTAAAAGTGGCGAAAGAATCCCACAATCCTCTCTCTGTCTTGAACCAATCGGTGTCTCCATGTGGTGTTCACACAATGGCTTCCTGATTTGTGTAACAACAACAGCACCAAGTTGGCCAGATCTTTTGGTGCCCTCTGGTCTTCTCTAGAGCTTGCCGTGATCGACTCAATCAGAGGCTTTCCTGTCGTCAACAAAGCAGATGGAGATGCTCTTTGAATACTTTTGAGGTTTTTTCCTCTCTCAAAATTATTCAAAGAGCATCTACGTCTGTCCAGCAAATTTCACAAAAATAGAAAGAAAATTCCTGGGCAATCTAACTGCCCTGGCATGGAAAGGTACTTGGCAAAGAAAGAAAGCGAGAGTTGGATGTGAAAAACAGAAGATTTGACCTCTTCGAGGGGGCATTCTATGTTTAAATTCTTGGTTGGAATAAGATGAAAAGAACAGATGACCCTTAGATACAATTAGAGTTTTATAATGAAAGATGTGATTTAGAATTAAAATAGCTTTCTTTCTTTCTTTCTTTCTTTCTTTCTTTCTTTCTTTCTTTCTTTCTTTCTTTCTTTCTTTTTTCTTTCTTCCTTCCTTCCTTCCTCCCTCCCTCCCTCCCTCCCTTCCTTCCTTTCGATATGGGAAATATCAAAATAAGAGGAGGATTGGTCTGAACAAAACGTTTAGCTACGTAAATGTAATTAACATGGAGAAAATCATGACTGACAAAGACATTTCAAATGTTGATGGGAAATCAAACCTTAACGAGAGCAGGAATACTTTTGAGATTTTTTCCGTGATCCAGCGTAGATTTGCAAGATGGTGCCGCACGTTCTTCCGATGCCGGCTTGAACATCTGGTAATTCTCTCCTGATGGTTGGCGTCAGATGTTGCACGATCCTAAGAAAATAGCAAAATAGCACTTCTATACCGCTTTACAGCAGTCTGCGGAACAGCCTGCCTCCAGAAGTTGTGGGTCCTCCATCCCTGGGGCCTTGACGCCATTTGTCTGAAGTTGCACAGGGTCTCCTGCTTGAGCAAGGGGGCCTCCAAGGTCCCTTCCAGCTCTCTTCTGATTGGTCGATACAATTGGAGGTGTTTGTCTTCTACAGGTGTGGATTATTCGATGAAAACCGTGAACCTGGAAGGCAGCCAGGTGGTGCTGCAACTCTGGGACACTGCTGGACAAGAAAGGTAATCTTCTGGCTGTGATCTTGGTAGGAAATACCCGTCAGGTGTAGTTCAGCCCAATTCCTGTGGAAGGTGTGTCCCTCCTCAAGGTAGACCAAGCTAGGAAACCAAGGCCTTGTAAGCAGCAAATCACCCAAACAAACATCCATCAGCTTCCCTCACCTGTTTCGACCCGTCTGCTGAGACGGTTTACTGGGGTGTGGCTGTTGCAGGCGTTACAACTACTCGGAGCCACAGGTGAGAGCTGAGCACCAGGTGAGAGCCAACGGCGAATCAACAGCCCTAGAATGGGCACGGCAGGTCCCTCCACCAGAGGTGCTACTCCTCTCCGAACACCTCATGCACGCTTATCGGTTAGGACCTCTTTCGTTGTAACAGTTACAACCACAGAGAGTGGGGTGCGATGACTTAGCGGTTAAAGACGCCGAGCTTGTCAGCTGGAAAGCTGAGAGGCCAGGTTCGAGCTCCTGTTACTTGTCCCAGCTCCTGTCCACCCAGCAGTTTGAAAGCATGCAAATGCGAGTAGGTAAATAGGTACCACTTTGGTGAGAAGGTAACAGTGTACCTTGCCCCTCAGCGTATAGTCATCCTGGCCACATAACCATAGGAATAGGAATAGGACTAGGAATAGAAATACAGAATAGAATAGAATAGAAATACAGAATAGAATAAAATAGAATAGAACAGAATAGAACAGAAATACAGAATAGAATACAATAGAAATATAGAATAGAATAGAAATACAGAACAGAACAGAATAGAAATATAGAATAGAATAGTATAGAATAGAATAGAAATATAGACTAGAATAGAATAGTAGAATAGAAATACAGAATAGAATAGAATAGAATAGAAATACAGAATAGAATAGAATAGAAATACAGAATAGAATAGAATAGAAATACAGAATAGAATAAAATAGAACAGAATAGAACAGAAATACAGAATAGAATTCAATAGAAATATAGAATAGAATAGAAATACAGAACAGAACAGAATAGAAATATAGAATAGAATAGAATGGAATAAGGAATAGAATAGAATAGAAATATAGAACAGAACAGAATAGAAATATAGAATAGAATAGAAATATAGAATAGTAAAATAGAAATACAGAATAGAATAGAATGAAAATACAGAATAGAATAGAAATACAGAATAGAATAAAATAGAACAGAACAGAACAAAATAGAACAGAAATACAGAATAGAATAGAAATATAGAATAGAATAGAAATACAGAACAGAAGAGAAATTAGAATAGAATAGAACAGAACACAATAGAATAGAATAACAGAGTTGGCAGGGACCTTGGAGGTCATTTAGTCCCACCCCCTGCTCAGGCAGGAAACCCTATACCATTTCAGACACATGGCTGTCCAGTCTCTTCTTAAAAACTCCCTGTGTTGGAGCATTCAAAGCTTCTGGAGGTAGGTTGTTGAAGTGTCTTTGGACAGTGTTGACTCCCTGGGCTAGGAAACCAAGATGAGGACTGCCCCACAGAGTCAGACACGCGTGGACAGGGGAAACCTCGATCTTTTCTCAACCGTAAAAGCGATTTGAACCCCTGACCGAGAATGGGCTTCCCTTTGCTAGGTCTGTTCAAGCCCGGAATAGACTAGATCACATCAGGTCTAGAATGTTTTCACTTGGATTTTGGACTGAGCAGGGAAGGGCTGGGCATGATGGCTGCTTTATCTTCTGATGTTCTAAAATCGTTGATTTCCAGGTATCGCAGCATCACCAAGCAGTTCTTCCGGAAAGCCGACGGTGTCGTTGTGATGTATGATGTAACCGCGCAAGACACCTTTGTGTCTGTAAAGCAGTGGATGGTGAGCGTCGAGGCAAGTTCCGCTTTGATTTAAATTCTCCAGCATTTGGTCCTTCCCCCCCCCCCAATTTGCTTCTTCCTCTTTTCCTGCAGGACAATTCTCTCTCCTTCAATGGCTCTCCCTTATTTTTTAGGAGGCAGCCGGGGAGAACATTCCTGTCCTTTTGCTTGGCAATAAAATTGACAA